TTATCCTGCTTGAAAGTGAAATTCTGAGGATACAGCATGGTCACAACAAACATCAGGACTTAGGCTTATCCAAGCCCAAACGTTAATAGAGAATCTATCGCTGCGCTGTGTGGGTTTCACATAAGGCTCCGAATACCTTATAATCTCTGGTGGGTAGACGCCTACACGAGATGAGGCAGGATAAAGAGGGATAATCCCCCTCGATCCCAAATCATTGAGGCCAATTTCTAGCCATAGAATAATGGCGGCGGTGGGTAGACACGTACAAATATAATAATCTCCCAGAAGTTGTCTGGGCTTTCTGCAAATTGTCTTGCAAACTCTAACCTCTGTTCTTTATACTGGGGAGTCAAAGCAACTGTATTTGCGGCCACATAATTCTTCAGCTCCGAATCTTTCAGTTCGCACTGATCCAGGAAAATTCTTCTCAAAGGAAGCCGCTACTGCCATGTCAAAAGGATTTATTCTCAGGTGGTGCTTACTTTTCGACGTCCACCGTGAACATAACGTACGTGACCCTCCGCAATCCATTTTTCTTTGAGTTTAAATATGCTGTTCTTGCATACATGCAGATCATCCGCAATGACCAATCATTCTGAAGCAAAGTTATAGCTCTCACTTTATCTGGTTCCGTTAAACGCGGCATCTTGAATTACCAAGCAAATTACTAATGAAACTGACATGTAAAAACTTGTCATAATAAGAAGTAGGCCACACCACATTAGAAAAATAAATCGTTCACTTTCAAAGGGCCGGCAGTGTACGCATTATTTATTAAAAAGCAACAAATTAAATTGTCTACCACCATAAACCATTAAATTGTCTACCACCATAAACACCAACGGATAGGAATTAATTACGCAACATCCACACGATATCAAATCAACTGTATACTAACGTGACGTGAACGTGAAAAGCATTCTGAGGCAGCGGCTCACGTATGTCTCGGTTGACCCACTTATCACGACATTGAATTGCGGCTCTCTCTGACAGCCTTAGTAATCATTATAATTTTGTTCGTGAAGTAACATAGTGTTTCATAGCAGGAAGAGTTTTATTTTCATGGTTAAGCCATTAATAATACAATAATAATATTAAAGTTAAATGCATGTATATTCCCCACAAGTAGCAAATATCATTAACTCAAAGTACTGTAGTGTTTTTGTTTATTGTAATTTCACGCAAATTCTCTCGACATCCGGATTTCCATATATATAGGGAGTACCAGACATCAGTGCCAAAATTATAACCACCCATTTAACTTTTTTAAAAGCAACAACTTTTGCCTAATATTTTTTTTCAAAAACGTCTTAGGTTTGAAGTTAATATAATTTTGCAAAAGTTTAAACTTTTGTTTTCTACCATTGGCGAATAAGTAGAAAACTTTAGCAAACATAATAAAAAACAAAAAAGAAGTACAAAAATGAATTTATCCTAACAAAACTATTAAGATTAGTAGATCACCAAAACAAGTTTTCATACGCTACTTATACATCAGGGTGATTCACAACTCAATGGACATAGAACAGGTGCGTGTAGAGGACGCCAAACCAAAGTTGATTTTTTATATGAATTTTTTTCTCATACCTACAATTGCGAAGAAACTATTATAGAACCACATATTTTTGTTCGATTTAATCGGTTTTGACCCCTATCACAAAATCGCAATTTTCTCAAAAACCGACGGTTTCTCGATAAAATAACAAGAATAAAAAATAAAATTGAATTTGCTATTACTTGTTACTTATTACTTGTAGACCTTAATTGTAAATTAAGTTAGGATTGAAAAAATTCATACAATTTTAAGGGTAACCCATCCCTTCTTAAGATGCCGGTCACTTCAAATTTCTACCAGTCGAGATGTTAATAAAATAAATATATTTACAAAATTTCGTTGTTCTGTATTGCTGAAATTCCGAGTTTTTTAGATTTTTTTTAACACATTTTTAGAGGTAAGTATCCGCAACCGTAGGTATGAAAAAAAAATTCATATGAAAATTCAACTTGTTTTGGTATCCTCTACACGCACCTGTTCTATGTCCATTGAGTTATGCATCACCCTGTATATTACTTTAATCTACAAGTTAACGAAATAAGTACTCAAAATTGGAGAGTATGTGAAACATGCCGAAATATGATGAAAACCTTAGTAGAGTTTTTTTCAGTGGCGGCCCCTAAGGGAGATACAGCCTCTTGAAGGGGTAACTCAGGAAACAGTTTTTATTGCATAATTTCAAAACGGTTTAATATTAAATTACGAAATTTTGGGGTTGTATTACTATTTGTATGCTTAATAGGTAATCGGTATAATATACAAACCAAAATTTGCTACAGGGGCGTAAGAAAATGCAGGATCATGGGGCAATTTTTTCTACTTCCTGAACTGAAAATATGAATCTTCATATTTTGCATAAAAAAGGTGCTCTTGTTAGATTTTAATAGCATGAGCCGTTTTCTAGTAAAATCCATTTCAATAATTCATTATTTGACAAAAATTCCTACTGCATAATAAATGTATCAAATTGTGCCATGAGAAAATTACTATTTTTATTTAATTTACCTTTTGTATTATTATTATCGTTATTGTAGTTGTTATGTAACTTTTACTAAATCAGGGTATAATATCACAGTTAAGTAGATGTTATTACAATTATTATTTTTATTTGAAAATCAAAAAATACCAAATAAAGACCAATGAAACGTAAATTTTTTATTGTAAATGTAGTTTCACCGTTGACGATAATATTGTATTATTATCAAACATGGTGGAAACCGCACGGAGCTTATTTATGTTACCGTTTTCGAATTCGTTCAAACCTGCCCTCCGCGGATAGGTGATCCGTGCGGATTCCTCTGTATCTAAACCAGTAGCCCTATAATAATTTAGTTTATTCTATGTTTATTACAGTATCTAAATTCAAATTTCTTAGATTGGGATATTGAGTAGGTAATCTAATCAGTAATTAACATACAGGGTTGGAAAATCCACATGGTCCATCTGCCTTTACATGAGAGCGACAAAGTAAAGTAAAGAAATCCGTGCGATAAACAAGGATGGCTATAGTGAAGACGTTTCATAATCTGAATCTATCTATCTAGAAGTGGGAGTGACTATTCAGATTATGAAACGTCTTCAATGTAACCATCCTTGTCTATCGCACGGATTTCTATGACTTACTTTATCGCTCTCAAGTAACGGCCGATGTACCATGGGGACTTTCTGAACATGTATACTTGACACCTCTGTTAAGTGTTATAAATAGTAATTTTCTCATGGCACAATTTGATACATTTATTTTCAGCAGGAATTTTTGAGCACATAATGAATTATTGAAATGGATTTTACTAGAAACGGCTCATGTTATTAAAATCTAACAAGAGTATCTTTTTTATGCAAAATATGATACATTTTCATAATTTCGGTTCAGGAAGTAGAAAAAATTTGGTACAAAAAAAAAATTGTAAAATTTGCCCCATGGTCCCGCACTTTCATTTTTATATTATGCCGATTATTAAGCATATAAATAGTAATACAAGCCCAAAATTTTGAGATTTAATATTAGACCGTTTTGAAGTTATGCAATAAAAACTGTTTCCTGAGTTACCCCTTCAAGACGCTGTATCTCCCTTAGGGGCCGCCACTGACAAAAACTCTACTAAGGTTTTCGTCGTATTTCGACATGTTTTACATACTCTCCTATTTTGAGTATTTATTTCGTTAACACCTTTTATATGCCCGATAAGATATTAAATCTAAATAGTATGTTTAGATGTTCCTAGAAGCAGGTTATTGATCGCGGTAGTTTAAATTTGCCCCCTTTAGCTTCCATGTCAACGGCGCCCATACTGAATAACCTACGACGAATCAAGGACTACCAAACAATTCGACTACAATCATTTTTCACTAGGATATCTCGTTTTGTACTGCATTTGAAAACACTTTTAAGAAAAATAATAACTTAATCGCACATATTCTGTACAAGATTCTTAATAAAACAAAATGTAAACGAACCTACGCACCTTGGTAAAAATCTATAAATCAAAAGGAAATAAAGAAGTTAGATTCTAGGGCCATGTTATGTTTAGTTTCAGTCACTTTCTATTGCAGGTTAAATAAAATAAGGTTAGGTTTTTTTTATACAATAAACTCTAAATAATGGATATCCTAGTGAACATCATTGCATTATATTTCTACAGAGAATACAGTCGTTAAAGTCAAATTGCGTCGTGATCTTCGTTCCCGCCACTGTACCGCAATTGGGCGAACTCATTTCTGACAAACTTCCGGCGGCATAGTCAGTCGAACACAGGAAATTTCGAAAGCATGCGACACATCCGTGTACATATAATGTGAATTTTCGAAAAAAGTTATTAAATACAACTTGTTTCATTTGATGAGTTACGTGATAAAAAGTCGGTATTTTTTCTGGGATATCCTGTATATGTATATTGACATTTTCCGATGGAAACGAGTTTACTGGGAACGAATTTGAAAATTATGGCACAAAGATGTTTACTGTAACAGAAAAACGCTTTTAGCCTTATCTGGTTAATATGAATTTTTGACATTCAGAAATCCCAAGACAAGCATATTTTGTTATTGTTTCCTCACAGTGTAAGTCAAGAAAGCATTTAAGTAATATAATAATTATTAATTTGACAGACTTGTCCAAGGCGACTTGTAGCGTGACTGCTGTGTCACCGAGCAACGAAACGGACGCTGCTGACCCTTCCACCTCTAGGCTTTATTTATGCACCGAACTGACATACTCTAATGAATTATTACCCTCCATCATTATTATTAAATCATTAATTTCAATTATTATTTCTAATAGGCGAATATAAATCAGTAAGCACATTATATTTACAATTTTTAGAATTAGATAATGACATTTAAAAATAAAATAAAAGTGCCAATTCCTAGCGAGTTTTGTGTGATGGTTGAGAAGGCAACACCGACGACCAAGTGACCTCAGTCCACACAACGACAGACCCCGTTCTGTGCACGCAAATCTTAAGCACTTAGGATCGTCACGGTAATTGATATGAATGATGATGTAGTGCAAGAGATAGTCATTCTTTGTTAAGATTCCTGTACGATACAATACTCTATTTTCTGTTTCTGTTCAAGCAGATTGCGCGTATGTAGACAGCATAAATATTTTAATTAACAAAAGCGCTATCTCCTAGTGTAAGTAAACTACTTAATTTTACAAAAACAAAAAGGAAAAAGGTGTTGGTAGATGACACATCAGTCTAGAGGTATGTCTAAAATTAAAAAGATTAAATATTTAATTATTTGCAGTCACATATTCTTTCACTTTCTGTATGTTGTATTAAGCAAATTGCAAGGAATATTGCCAAAAGACAGAAATCTTTGATACAGACTGCGATTGGCGTAAATACTATATAACATTTTTTTCGTTTACATCAATAAAATGTTCTTTTATTTCGTACAAATTTTCCCATTTTTTATCTAATTAATCGGACTTTTTTAGATTTATAAAAAATATCTTCTTTGCGCTGCATGGAAAACAACCAACAGTTGTGTAATTATTGATATTTTCTATTATTGATATGTTACGTCATTATTATTGATAGGAGACATAAAATTTATCAATTTGTGTTATTAATATGTATTTAAAAATAAGAAGTGGGAGAAACAAACTTATTACAAATGTGAATGCTATTTATATTTGAGTGCTCATGTACTTACTGTTTATTATTAGCAGTCTGATAACTAGTAACACCAATATAATTTAATACAGGATATTTTTTTAATATCTCCAACGAAAGAAATAAAAATATAACATATTTACAAAGCACTGTATTAGAAAATAATAACAGCTGTAGCTCTTTTTAATTTTTATATGTAAAATAATATTATATGTAACATAGTGAAATGTTATGCCATTTTACTTTAACCGAGATGATATGGTAACTATAGAGACTAGGCAAGATTTTTAACAGTCGACGGAAGACTCATTCTACAAAAACAAATCATATAAATATCGGTCATAGAACATTTCGTTTCTGTGATACAGAGTACTGAAATTCACGCTAATGATTTAAATTAATTACATACAGAGTGTCCGCAAATTTCACCTACAGCGTTTGACTGCATATTCACGACGATAAATAAATACGATCTACGGAAAAAATGTTAAATAAAAACTTTTTGGTTTTTGAGTTACAGGTCTTCAAATTTGTCAAAATTAAAACTAATTTAATTAATAACTTCATAACCATTTTACGCATTTAAATTTGGTACATTTATTTGCACTATTATGGCGTATTATTTCTTAAAACTTTAGTCAAATCGATATTAGTTTGCTCCGGATACCTCTCCCTTTTAGCGGTCAAAACTTTTACAGTGGTCGTATTTTTTTAAAACTGGCGGCAACATTGAAAAGGTCATTTCATTTAAAAAAAATATTGTCCCTTGAGTAAATCGCCTACAGAAAGCCATTCTTGAGGAAAATTGCATTATTTGCAGGTCTGTGCATTTCGATTTGCCTAGCAGTGTCACGGATTTAAAACTTTGAATTCAGTTGGCGATTAAAACAAGATGAAGGTAATGTCATTATTGTCGTGTTTCTTTAGGATTCTCATCACTCCACACATGCAAATTATGAAGTGTCCGCAGTGTATCAAGACAATTAAATGTAGGTAAAACTAATGTTCACAAAACTTCTTCAGATATTTCATTTAACTCCTGCTCAAAAACTTGAAAATTTAGATCGCAACACACGTTTACAATTTTGTCACTGGTTGGTGAATGGCTTCGCAGAAGATAATAATTTGCTTCAAAAATAGTTTTGTACCGTCAAATCTTGTTTTTCAAGAAGTGGAGTTGTAAATTTTCATAATTTGCATTTGTGGAGTGATGAGAATCCTAAAGAAACACGACCACAATGGCACTACCTGAAAGCCACAGCAATCAACATCTTACTTTCATCGCCTACTGAACTCAAAGTTTTAAATCCGTGATATTGTTACGCAAACCGAAACAGACATACCTGCAAATAACGCCATTTTTCTCAAGAATGGCTTTCTGGAGGCCATTTTCTCAAGACACAATATTTTTTTTAAATAAAACGACCTTTCCAATGTTGTTGCCCTTTTTAAAAAATACGACCACTTTAAAAATTTTGACCTCTAAAAGGGAGAGTAACCGGAGAAAACTATCACTCAGCATATCTATTTGACTAAAGCTTTAAGAAATAATACGCCATAATAGTCCAAACAAATGTACCAAAATTTAACGCAATCGGCAAAAGGGTTATGAAGTTATTAATTAAATTAGTTTTATTTTTGACAACTGAAAGCTTGTAACTCAGAAACCAAAAAAAATTTATTTAATTTTTTTTGTAGATCATTTTTATTTATTGTCCTGAATATGTAGTCAAACGTTGTCGATGAAATTTGCGGACACCCTGTATATGTCAATCAGTGACGGAAACATTCAGAGGCACCAATCCTAAAATTTCGACGCCACTAAGTGATTTGAAAATTAGATAAGTGCTTTTAATTCAGCTTCAATTTTCCACAAAAAATATACGAGGTCTATTCAGAAATTAACAGAACTTTTTGAATTCCGCGCTAATGGAAATATTTAGTGATATGCTGTTGGAAGCATTGTGTTGCGTATTATCTCCTATTTAATCACATGTTCTTGGATTGTTGATATCTCATTTAGTTTTCATGATATTGTTATTTGAGTGCAACATGTTTAAGTGTTAGTGACGATTTTTGAAATGTGTGATTTTCTAGAACAAAGATGCAACGTAAAATTTTGCTTGAAACTGGGGAAAACTTTCACGGAACCGTTTCAACTTTTTAAACTAGCTTACGGAGATGATGCCCAGGGTCGTTACTCAATTGAAGATGATCCTCGACCAGGAAGACTTTCAACAAGAGGTAAACAGCTGATCAAAATTTGTACATTAGACATCCCTTTTTCGAAGAAATCGCCGGACATCCTCGAATTTCCTCGGACATCCTCGAACTTCCTCGATTATCCTCGAACTTTCCCGGACATCCCTGGACATACTCGGATATCCCCGGACATCCTCGGACATTGTGCATTTTGAATTCTTGCCTTAAGGTGAAACAGTGAACCGTATCAAGGCGTTTTACAACGGTTACGTGAAAAAATCCACAAAAAGAGACCAGTCATAGTCTTGCACCAGCTTTGTCAATTCGTCAGTTTTGTGCCAAAAATCAGATTGCTCACCGTTCTTACTCGCCAGACCAGGCTCCTTGCGATTTTTCTTATTTCCCAAATTAAAATCAATGCTGAAAGAACGCCGTTTTCAGACTAACTTCGCGAAATGAAAATACCTCTGGGAAAAGTGTACGAATAGGGAGGGAAGAAGACAAGGACTAATAATGTATAAAATTTATAATAAAGTTAGATTATTTTCTGAGCAGACCTTGTATCTTCTATTTTATTCGAAAAATGAGCTATCTTTGAGTTATAATTTTTTGTCGGCCTGTTTGTATTTTTTTTACTAGTTATTTTCAAATCCATTGTCATAGGATACTTTTTCTGCTCAAGTGTAGAGCTATAGTTATTGCAATAACTACCTAATATTTCAATTTTTTGAGAATTTGTACAACTTAAGTACTGCTCGTTTTATTGTGTATTCACTTATTTCTATTATTTCTTTTATTACCTACTTTTGTAAGCTCAGAGTAACATTCTAGCTTTAATATTAGAAAAATATAAAATATTTAATAAATATATAAATATAAAAAAACTATTTCTCATTTTCGCTCCACGCCAAAGAGACGCTAGTGATCGTTATTTATATCCTTAACAAAATTACTAACGTTATATTAATTTGATAAAAAGATTGATTTGGCTTTTACTGACACGACTAAAAAATGACCCCAGTTTACAACAAAATTTTAGTTAAAGCTTTTTAATATACTCGAATGACATTTCAGTTTTTCAGAATGTTTAAGGAATTTACCAAACTTCGTACATTTGATGTTAAATTTATTTCTACTAACTACGCTAAAAGAAACTCAGAGGCGGCGGGTATAACTAAGAAAAGCGACTACTACAAAAATCTAGGAGATGCAGAAGAAAATATTGATGGGAAACCACGAGAATGGAATGATGCTCTACCTTATGAGTCCATACCAGGACCTAAGCCCCTTCCTCTTATTGGAAATATATTCCGATTCTTACCTTTCATAGGAGAATACTACAATCTGCCTATTAGAGAAATGTATGAATCGTAAGTATAATAGAATAGAATAAGAAACAGATAATTTGTTTCACGTGATATGCTACTAAACTAATAAAATATAAATTCGATATCTCCTGAAATGATTCAATCTGCTACTCAGAGCGTTTATGAAAGAGTACAAAAATGTATAAATAATAGTGACATGACTTCGAACATTTGTGATAAAATTTAAATTTACTATTTAATTTTGTTTTGCTTTATCTGTGTTGTTTTGTTCGTTGCTCTTGTTATTGTTATGTAAATAAAGGCTGCCGTGTTAAAAAGTATTAAAAATAAGAAATATTAAATTAATTTCTAGAAAAAATTCAAATTCTTCATGGGTACTTGACTTTTTTATTAAAATTATAACTCAATATCTTTGTTATTTATTTACTACACGTTTTTGTCTTAAAATTTTTAAAAACCAGTGAAATGCGACTAAAAAAATAGCATAAAATCTATAATTTGCTAGTAATAATTTCACAATAATTATAAAAATAATCACAATGTAAATGTCGAATTTTAGCACAATTTTATAAACAAGTGTGTGAATTTATTGACAACGTTTTTTTTCTTTTTAACGAAATTGCCTATACAATTCGCATTAACTTTAATTATAGAATAGCATTCACCGACACACCACTATACATTTTTTTTATGCAAACACCCCATCTGCATTAGAGCGATGATATTTTTCATTGTTTTTAGAAATTTCCATAGCCTTCTAAGAATATGAAAGAAAGAAACAAAACATATTTTAGAAATATCATGAAACAAATAAATAATCAAATGTATAAACTATGTACACTAGCGTAATTTTCGTAACAGAATAACCTAAAAAAAGCTTTAAAAAAGGTAACTACAGTACACGTAGATCTTTAGATTGGTCTTGTGGAAAAATAGTTTTTCATCACAAATTGGTGCAAGCAGTAACTGGAATTTTTTTTATTTAAAAAAAAAATCGATGCCATTATTGGTAAAATAAAAATAATGTGTTTTTTCTGAAAGACATCTTAATAGGTTCTTTTTCTATAATATTTGCAAGAAAATTGGGAATAAACATACTTTGCACATATTGATAACCAGAAATGCATGCTCTCAAATTTTATTGCAGAATCTAGTTTTTCCGGCTTCCCAATTTTCTTTTTAACTTTTTTTATTAATTTAATCGATATACTACCAGTACTCTAAGCTTCTAGACGGAGTAACATTTATACCAAACATATAAATAAAATACTACACGCATTTGCTTAATAATCTAATCTGTTTTTAATTTGACACACTTTAACTTGAATAATATTGTTCACTGATAAAGATAAGAGAATTAATAGTTTCTGTTTTATGTTTTTCTTGTTTTAGATTTAAAACAAAGTATGGCAATGTAGTAAGTCTTACAGGAGTTGGAAGACCTCCTATTATATTCCTCTTCGATGTGCAAGATATGGAGAAAGTAAGAAACAATGAATTAATTCAGTCGTTCTTAACAATTTCTAAGTCACAGGACAGTTTTTATTGTAAAAATTTACAGCAATTTTATTCTGTTAAATATTACTATTATATAATTAATATTAACCGACAATATAAGATTTTAGAAACAATTACTAGATAAACTTTACCACAAAATTGATACAGAGCCTTCATAAATGTTCACAAGCCACATGACCGTCGAGCTTAAGGCTCGATTACATTGAGCCAGATTACTTGCTACCAGCCGATGAGTTTAGAAGCGGGCGAGTCAGCTACACAAAACTTGCCACTCGCCCAGTAGCCAACTATCTTGTCGACATTGAAACCAGGAACCACTGGGATACTAGCAGCTAGTTCATTAGCAACAGTGTTGACATATGGCTAGTTTGCTAGCTAATAAGCCCACACGCCAGCGAGTAACGAGTAAAGTAGCCCGGCTTTCAACTTTCTCGCAGATCGTTTAGAATCTGCTAATTAGATAGTGAACATGATTACACTGGGCGAGTTTACCAGCAGCTAGTGAATTCGCAGACTAGTATCTAGTAAACTCGCTCAATATGTAATCGAGTCTTTAGGCAACCCAACATTGCACAATTGGAATCGGTAACGAAAATTCCCTAAATCTTAAGGCTCTATTATATTGAGCGAGTGTATTAGTTACTAGCCGGCCAGTTTAGAAGCGGGCGAGTCAGCTAGTGCCATATTCAATCAGCTGGTTAGCTAGAAAACATGATTATGATGCTAGTTTACTAGCAGCTAGTGAATTCGCCAGCTAGTATCTAGTAAACTTGCTCAATGTAATCGAGGCTTTAGCGTCACCAATATTAATGACTCGTTTACAATGACCAATGGCAAATCGTTACGTCTATGCTCGAGAAAATGCGATCGCTGATTGATTGAATAAAATCTCGTGAAAAATTACACCAATCACGGCCGATGAAGCAGAATGTTGTGTTTTAATGTAATCTTGATGATCTTATTGTTTTAGTAATTTATAATTTTACCGAAATTTAATTACCAACATTAAGGAAATAAAATTATTGTTCCAAACAAATATTACTGGTCACGTGGCTTGTAATCATTTATGAAAGCTCTATAGTACCAAGTGGAGTAACGTAAATAGAAGTTTTTAATTTAGTACTTCAGCAAACTCTCAGAAGTGATTATTTAGGTTACTTTAAACCAAAAGGGCTATAACAATAAGCATAGGTTTGCAAATCGATAGTTTTTGAAATATAGGGTTTTGGTTATCTTTGAATACGTTTAATATAGAATAACGATACTTAGACTAATGATGTATCTAATTAATGGTAAAAATTCAGTAGATCCGAATATAAATATGTACTAGTGGCAAAGCTACCGTGAGTTACTAAATATTCCGAAATTTAACGCTTCTAAATATTTCATAAAACTTTGTCACTTCTAACTCCTTATGGTTTCTCCAAAAAAATCTTTAATTTTATTCGAAATACGAACCATTTCAGTATTGCTTTTCTTCTCTCATTAACGTTACCAAGCACTTCATTAAATACAAGGTGGACCATGGGAGCGGGAAGTTTTGAAAACGACGTATTTCCGAAAGTAACTGTATTTAATTAAAACAAAGTACAATAACAAGATAATTGTGTGCCATTTTTATTTCTTAAAAATTATGGCTGCTAAATGGCCTCCTCTTCTCTCCATACACTCTTGAAGCCGAACGTTGAAATTCTGCATAACACGACGCAACATATCCAACGGAATATTAGCAATTTCTTCCCGAATTTTCATTTTCAGTTCCCGAATATCTCGTGGTTTGTCAATGAACACCTTGCTTTTTAGATAGCCCCACAAAAAGTAGTCGCATGCCGTAAGATCTGGCGATCTAGGGGGCCACTCAATGTCTCCGTGTTTGAAGATAACACGATCTGGAAACAATCTTCGCACGGAATCCGTTGATGCTCTTGCGGTATGTGAAGTAGCGCCATCTTGCTGGAACCAGCTATTGTTCTGTGGAAACATGTTCAGTAGCTGTGTAAGGAACTGGTTACTCATGTCAGTATAGCGTGGAGCATTGGCTGTTAAAGCATTTTCATTCTGATCCTCAAAAAAACAGGAACCTATGATTCCCATTGAAGATATTGCGCACCATACTGTTACCTTGGGGCTGTGTAACGGCTGTTGATGAAGTTCTTGTGGATTTTCCAAAGCCCAATTCTCTGTTTTGTTTATTGGTATAGCCAGATAAATGGAAATATGCTTCATCAGACATCCATTAATTGTGAACGTCAACGTGAAGTTCATGCTGCAGCATCGTTTCAACAAAATGTAGCGAACAGGAAGATCTGTTGGTTTCAATGCTTGGACAATCTGGATTTTGTAAGGACGAAAATTGAGATCCTTGTGTACAATTCTAAGAAAAGTAGTCCTAGATAATCCCAAGGCCTGGCTTTGTTTTAGACTTGAACGTTTTGGACTGCGCTCTACAGATGCTCTAACGCGATCAATGTTTTCAAGACTTCTATTTGGTCCCTTATGTTTGACATTTTCAGCTGATCCAGTATCTTCAAATTTACGAACCCACTCCTTTATGGCAAGGCCAGATGGAACTCTCCCGTGACGAGCAATGTTGAAATTAATTCGAAATTGCCGCTGTGCTGCGACCACACAATCATTATTTTTGTAGTAAGATTTAATCACAAAAGAACGTTGTTTGCCGGACCACTGTTCCATGATTACTGAATGGCATAAAATAACACATAATTTGTCAAACAAATTTCATTCAATTTCACAGTAATGAAATAATAACATTTTTAAAACTTCCCGCTCCCATGGTCCACCTGTTATAATATAACTTTAGTAGTATTTGTTTCCCAAAAAAGTTTATTTGACTTTTTTCTAAATATTAGGATTTTAATACAATGAACTATGAAAAGTCATAGAAACTTCGTACCTATACCACTACCTGTAACAAAAATATAAAATTTCGCTTGATTGATTTTTTTTTGCAAGTATGTATTTAAAATTGTATTTCTAGCAAAGAAATTTTATAAACTCTTTTTGAGAAACCAGTAATTGTACAGTTATTTTATATTTTGTGAAGTGTTTCGTAACGTTAATGAAATTTTAAAAAGGTACTAAAATCGAAAAAGATTCGTTTTTAGAATAAAATGAAATATATATTTTTCCTTGGAAGAAGTTACTGAATTTTCAAAATATTAATTGGCTAAAGTTTTCAGTTAGAACGACTCCCTATATCTTTGCCACTGCTACACTTATTTTATGTTTGACAACATTTTTTCTTTATTTAGACAAATCATGCATCAAACATCTTCAAAGATACACAGCCACACAGAAAAAAAAAGTTGGGTATACTTTTTATGCAACATATATTTTTCGTAGTAATTTGGCCTCCTGAACACGAATCTGGGGTCAGAATTGGCCCATCACGTCACAATTTTTTCCTACCCTCAAAAAACTTGTGAAAAATAGTGAAAATTGATGAACATTTACTGGGAAATTTTGAAAAAAATTTATTTCCGCATCAAATAGTACATTTTTATGTAAAAGACTCTGCTGAATTCAAATCCACCGTCAGAATTTAGCTAGAACGTGTGTTTTTTTTTCTAACCTCAAAAAACCGAGCAGGAATCGCTATTTTCAAATTCTGAGCGGATTTTGACCAGATTTTGTATAAAGGGGTTTTTTGGGTCGCTGATTACGAATATGAATTCACATTGTAAAAATTCAAGATGGCTGATCCAATATGGCGGGTGTACTTTTTTTGAAATCCACCGATTTCAGTAAAATTTGGCATCATAAGGATTGCTGGTTGATCTCACCTTCATTAATCACACATCTGGAGCCAAATTTCCACTCCGTCTAAAAATGTGACTTCGCTTAAAAAAATGACTTAAGGACTCTACACATGTAATGATGTGTAGTGTGATGTGCTTGTTTCCATGGGACAAGACAAAAAAGTTTCTACTTCATTCTTTCATTTATTTAGTCGTGCATGGGCTTATGGTTTCCAATCAGATTTTTTTAACAACTATGCAGTTTTCCTATGGCATTTAGATGCTTTTATTTCTTAATAATTTTAAAGTTCAAGGAAAAGGACACATTACTGACACACAGCACATCACTGCATCTGCTTATGCCTTCAAACTAAAAATGTGACTTTGCCGAAAAAATGCCGCCTACTCGGCCTAAAATTATGACTCTGCCTACAAATTTTACCTTGATTTATGAAAATCTGGCTCCAGATGTGTGATTAATGAAGGTGAGATCAACCAGCAATCCTTATGATGCCAAATTTTACTGAAATCGGTGGATTTCAAAAAAAGTACACCCGCCATATTGGATCAGCCATCTTGAATTTTTACAATGTGAATTCATATTCGTAATCAGCGACCCAAAAAAACCCTTTATACAAAATCTGGTCAAAATCCGCTCAGAATTTGAAAATAGCGATTCCTGCTCGGTTTTTTGGGGTAGGAAAAAAAACACACGTTCTAGCTCAATTCTGTCAGTGGATTTGAATTCAGCAGAGTCTTTTACATAAAAATGTACTATTTGATGAGGAAATAAATTTTTTTCCAAATTTTCCCAGTAAATTTTCATCAAATTCACTATTTTTCACAAGTTTCACAAGTTTTTTGAGGTTAGGAAAAAATTGTGACGTGATGGGCCAATTCTGACCCCAGATTCGTGTTCAGGGGGCCAAATTACTACGAAAAATATATGTCGCATAAAAAGTATACCCAACTTTTTTTTTGTGTGGCTGTGTAATTTAGAAAAAGTGTTTTTTTTTCATTTCTAGAAAACTATTGCTTTGTGAACTCATATTTATATAAAATTTTAAGCTTAAAATTATTCAAAGAATCACCCCTTAAGGTTTATCGACGTACTTAATTAACACCCTTATAATATAAAATAAATCCAAAAGTAAATATATATACAATCATAATTTAAGAAAACAGGTTAAAAACCACTGAATTATCTTTATATAATTGCATAATATTCAAGTTACATATTAATCTTTATTACTTCACTGTTACTATAAATGATTAAAAAACATGTATTTATCAGCATCTTAGAGGTGCAGGGGCATTTCCTATCAGAAGAGGACTAGGCTCATTGACACATTATCGTACTGTAACAAGAAGGGATGTCTTTAAAGATGTTCCAGGGCTTATGTCTGTGTAAGTATCAAAGGTTCTGTTAATGACTGATGAAGTTTAATGGCCGGGTCATTGTTTCATTAGATCATTAGTTTCCTCGATATTCAGAAAAATATATTACTTTCATACAAAGGGGAATTACGTACATAATAACAGTTTAATAAATTATTTCTCATATAGTCCCCTTTATTAAAAAATAATATTTTTTTATTAAGCTAATTCAAATAAATTATAGGTAATCTCTTCGATATCAAATATTTAGATTTGTAAATAAAATAATTCTAGACGAGAATCAAAATTATTTAAATAGATATTTGGTGACAAAGAAGATATAGGGTATTCCAGAAAAGTCAGTCTACAGACCCCTGTAATCAAAATATTGACTTGGACTAACTTAACCTATATACAAAAATTTATGACTACTGAAAGGTAACTCTAAATATGGTAATGCAAAAATGCTCTCAGATACTGTAAAGAGAGATACATCTCAGCAGGCGTTGATTTTTGTACACAATGTGTTTTGTTTAAGAAGTAGCCGCCCTCAATTCATACCAATAAAAATGTCAGTAATGTGGAAAAATTTAAATGTTGTTATCGTGTATATCATCTACAACACTTCAGCAGGTGCATTTTTAGTAGCATTACATCATTTTCTTGCCCGGGCCGTCCCAGTCTTATTTACAGGGATTGTGGTAAAAATTTGGTAAAAACTCAAAGACAGCTCACTACATTAATGCATTCTGCAGCTCCAACAAGAGTTTTACAATGGAGTTTAAATTCTCCCTATGCATCCCACTTTGGTGGTATATGGGAAACCAGTATTAAATCGATATAATCTGATTTAATTTAATATTAGGACAGCAAATTTTGACATATGAAGAATTAATACTTATTAAAATAAATTGAAGTAACCATTAAGTAATGACCCGCACGATCTCTTGGCATTGTAATGTCAGTGCAAAACGAACAAATGTATTTGGTATTGCGTAAAAATCTAATATATCTGTATTTGTATAAAATTATAATTTATGTAAAGTCTCATTGTAAATACTGTATATATTTTTAATAAAATAAGATTTATCTTACATCACGTTAATTAATAATAATTGTTATAATTGTTATATACCTATGTATTCAACATTATTTATCCTTTAAACATTACTTTCTCGATTCCATTGTAACTTATATTGCAACTAGAATCTCAAAAACTAGATAGCGCGTGATTAAACATAATACTTTTTGATTTTCATTTTTTCTAATTACATAGACTGTTAGTCACTTAAATATTCGCGGATATTGTTAATGTCAATGTCGAAAATACAACAAATAATCTTATTAAGCAATGGTTTTCGTATAATATATAGTGTTTATACATGATATATATTTTTTTAAGTTTTTATAACAATTAATAATTGCAATTGTTCATTAAAAATAACTGTTGATATCAACAGGTAATTGCATTATCATTTTCATCAAATTCTTAATATAAATAATCTCATAATAAGTAGCAAAGAAATATGCATATTTTATTAATGCGCTTTTGACGGTTGTATTTATCAAAATTTGTTATTTTAAGCGGCATAAATAGATTCCTCTCGCCGCGTAGTACTAAATTAAAAAAAAATGAGTCATTTATCATAAATAGTTATCGAGAAAAGCGATGTCACAGTTGCGCTGTTGATTTTGAAGACGCGCGAACAGTTTTTTTCGGTAGTGAAGATGCGTCTCGATCGCTTCCCCCACTCCGCCGCCGCGCGCGAGCTATTGGAATTTCGATTGCTTGGCCGATTTTAAACAATTATTTAAAGTTACTTAGCATGCCCCCGTAAACTTGATATTTTATTGAAAGACAGTGCTGCGTCTTCCGCTCACGGCCATATATTTTTTTTTCGATACTCATCTAAATGTTTAAACAATAGACCGTCAACTTTGACTGCCCGTAGGTCCTTTGTTTATTAACGAATCTTGACGATTTTTTTTTTAAATAAAGGTCTTTGAAAGCTCTATCGATGTATGTAATCAAATCGCGCATAAGTATTAAAATATAGTAAATATTTCATTTTGCAACTAAGCAAATTTACAAAATAAATTCCCTAGGTCGCAAAATTGAATTTTTTTGAAAAATAACAATGGGATCCGATAGCTTATAGTGAAATATACCAATAAAAAATTTAGCGCGAATACGGGTGACCCTCAAACATGTGGGGATTGATTATTAGTTAATTTGTTTATTAGGCCATAACTCGCAAAATATTCAACTTACGGTTTCCAGCTTTCGCACAGATTATTCGTCAGTAAAAATGAATAGTTGGAGATAAGCAATACACATCATTGTTATTAATAAGCTTTTTATTAATGTTTATTTAAATTGCAAAAAATTAATGTTTTTTATTAATAATTTTTGACTGGATCAATATTTTTTTTCGTACGTGGGTTCGTTTTGTTCGTCTTGAAAAGACAAACAAAAAAGAATTTTACTTTTTTGCAGTAAAATCGTCCGGACAAAAGTTATAAGCTAAAAACGTGAAATTTCACTAAAATCACAGTTTCTATGGCTTATAAACAAAAATGGTATTTTTTGATTTTGTACGGGTAAAGATATGTTGTTATATACCGCTTTTTCTACCTTCTCACAAAAAATCAGGCACTTATGAGCATTATACCCACATACCTCTAGTTTTCCTGGTCTATTAGAACCTTCATCATGCTGGCAACTGCTTCAGCGCTTTCAGCAGTACTTTTGGTCATTCTGGAAAAAAAAAATAAATATTATTTCCCAAAAGTAAATGGATTTGTTCCAATCTATGGTTGAAGTATTAGTTGGCTCAGTTGTTGTAATTCGAGTCGAATTATACTAAAAATTAGATTTTTAAAGGGCCTGTTGTTAAACTAGGTCCGTTGCCCATGTCTAATGATTAAAAAACAATTGCGCCTTTTTTGGGGGGACGGTAATTTCGAGTGGTGGAGGTAACTATACAATCACTTCTTAAAGATAATCTCAATCGATATTATGCTTGTGTGCACGGGCAACCACCGCAGCAGCTTCTACCCATTCTTAGGCCGCGACTTTTGCTCCTCTTTCAACGGTGGTGTTCCGCAGTTGGTGCTGGGTCTAGGTGCCTGGATTGGGACAACTGCGAAAAGAACTGCGCCCCGGCTGGGTAGGCTGGAGAAAGCACGCCCTGTGGGAAATGTAACATTTCGCTTATGGCGACAAGGAAACACCACCAAACGCTCCGCCCATTAGCAAACATCTTCTCGGATGGTGGAAACTAGGTCCGGATGTGCAAGATGCTCGAGGTAATCGGCCATACAGGTCTCCCGCCACCCTCACTCGTCGACCCTCACCAGCTGCGACATTCTCGTGAAGGCTATCCACCAAAAATGTGAGCAGAACTACTGGTGAAGTTTCCCCGCCACCAGAAGTACAACACTATCTTCCCCGGGAAGTGCACTTCCCGCAACCTAACTTAACTGAAGCGTAGCGCTTCTTCGATTAAGTGACGGACCTCGACCCCAGACCAACTGTGAGATGTTGCTACTGAAGAGGGAACACGAGTCGCCCCCCAAAGACGAGTAGACGCGACCAACAGCAGTATGTCAGTCGAGAATGTCAGGAGTCCTATAAGAGGTGATCGATTGTACGCTGACGATTACCTCCTACAGGGCTCGTGACATTGTTGATCAACATCATGCTCGTATGCAGAGGTTTGTTTAACTTAAATACTAAACAGTTATAGTTTGTTAGAAATTCCAATTACAGTTGGTATCATCACACTATTTTTGCAAAATGGTATAATCCGATTTACTAAAATTCCAGAAGTGTTCGGTCAAACTTGCGTTAAACGTTTCTGGGACATTCTGTATGTGATTATATTTGATGAACAGTTTTGGAATTAAATTAAAATAACTTATTGACTTTATTTTGTATTAAAAAAGATATTCTGTCCTTAAGGACTACTAGTTGGCAACTTCTGTGTTCTTTTTTCACACCAAAAAATAAAGACTTGTACGTGACAAATCATATTTTAAGGTATTAATCAATATTTTATAATTTTTTTTAGTCAAGGAATAGAATGGTTTAAAATTAGATCAGTGGTGAACCCGGTTTTGATGCAGCCTAAAGCAGCGCAACAATATATAGGAAGTATGGATAAAGTCGCAAATGAACTTATCGAAAATATTCGTTTTTTCTCCAAACAAAATGAAAATAGTGAAATGCCAGAGGATTTTCAGAACGAGTTGTATAAGTGGGCATTGGAATCAATTGGAGTTATAGCACTTAACAAACATTTGGGTAATACATTTTTTCCGTATTATTACTTCTTTTAGAACAATGCTGCGAACATTGACTTCAAACTTTCGTACGGATAATTCCTTGTGATGTAACTTGAACTAGAATTTTCTAATTTAAAATTACGTGACATGTTTTAATATTTACTTTCTGAAACATATATTTACTTGCAAGCGATAGTGACAATTTATATTGAAAGTCTTCTCTATTATGTTGTAATAATGTTATATAATTATAAATTTACTGAGAAAAAATAAACAACTTTACATAATTTTCACCGATGAAAGTTTTAAAAGAACAGATAATGAAAAAAATATATATAAAGAATGGGACAATTTAAAAGATAGTAAACTCACTCTAATCGCCGTTGCTTTGTCCAGGAGGAACCAAAATATTTAATTAGAAAAACTAAAATTAGCTAATAAGAAGGAACATTTAGGCCCAGTAAAATTGCTTAAGAATAACTCAATTTGATCAGCGGTCTTTTAATAAGGTCAAAAAAACTAAAATTAATAAGAACAGAACAAACATACCATATTTTGAGTTACAAGAAATAGGAGACACTGTCCTAGGGCGTTATAAATATCTACAATGACTTAGCGCGAAAAATATAAATATTTCATTACAAATAAATCAATTCAGTATAGTAGTACATTACAAGTAACACTGTTAATAACGTCAATGCAGATTAAATTTCAAACAAATGTCTTACCAGATACAGCGTGGTAAAAAAGTTCTGCATAAAATTCATATTTTCATTAAACAATTTTTTTTCGAAAAAACGGTGAGACCAGTCGATTTTTATTTGATCCAGGGCACCTTGTTATGTGGAAAACATTTTTTTTTCGATAATCCATTTACGGCAGCGATGACATAATTTTTTTTATAAATGACAACGCATATTTTTTTCATTGGAAATTGATGACAGTGATAATTATCTAAACAACGGTGTGACAATTTCGATGTCTTACATAACAATTTTTTTTAGAAACATGCACCATAAGTTCTTGAATGTAATAATTTGCTGTTTACGGATCAAATGCCTTAAAAAAAAATTTATTCGGCAGAAAGCATTTCTGTTAGAAAGCAGTTCTGTTGTGTTATGTAATATTTGCGGAATTATCAGATATTGTCAGGATCCTGATTAAACTGCAAAATTTAGAACCAAGTTCAACCGCACAAAATCCAAATAGTATGTAGCAAATTAAGGTCGACTTTTTGTCTTCGAGTTTGCCGATAAATTCCTCAAAAAAAAAAAATCCAAAGAAATGTTTACTTGAAAGGAGTAGATTACCTGAAATATTGAAGACTAAAAATCAGTACCGATTTAACATTCTTTGGTGAAATCGTTTAATTCGAAATGGCAAAACTTAGTGAACGCGAAAGAATTGATATTTTGAGGATGATTGGTTTCGGCGATAAGTTACGAACCCATCAAGAAGCTTGCCAATTATTTAATGCAACGTACCCTGACAGACCACCAATTACGCAATCTACGGTTAGTAGGGTACTGGCAAGGTTTGAGGAAACTGGTAGTGTGAAAGATGCTCCTCGTGCGGGTCGTCCTAGAGTAGATGATGAAACTAGATTGAATATCCTGGTGGAGCTCCAGGACAACCCTCATTCTAGTACAAGGTCGATTGCATTGAACAATGATATTTCACATGTAACTGTGGTGAACTTTCTCAAAAAAGAGAAATTTCACCCCTATAAGGGTCACTTGATACATGCATTGACTGAGGACGACCCAGACCGCCGTCTCCACTTTTGTGAAGATTTAATGCATCGATGTAACGGAGACCCCGACTTCCTCAAGAACATAATTTTTTCTGACGAGGCTACTTTTTATCTTAATGGATCGGTGCATCGACATAACTGCCGGTATTGGTCTCAGGAAAACCCGCACTGGGTGCAAGAAGTAGATCATCAGCACCCCCGAAAGGTGAACGTTTGGGCGGGAATAATAGGGCGTCGTATTTTAGGCCCGTATTTTTTCGAGGAAAATTTAACTGCTGCTCGCTATTTGGATTTCCTGCGGTTCGATTTGGTCCCAAGCTTAGCAGAGTTATTCCCGAACAACGAGGATCCTGATATTCCTGAGGAAAGAATTTGGTTTCAGCAGGATGGTGCACCGCCCCATTATGGAGTGCAAGTACGGGAGTACTTGAATAACACGTTTACTGGCCGGTGGATCGGGCGACGCGGAACAATCGAGTGGCCTCCGCGTTCGCCTGATTTAACACCTCTAGACTTTTTTTTGTGGGGCTATTTGAAATCGCGTGTGTACACAAACAGACCAGGTGATTTGGAAGAACTTAAAAACCGTATTCGTTTTGAAATAAATCAAATCGACCCGGGAATGCTTGAACGAAGTGTAGACGGCGTTTACACACGCTTAGGACAATGCCAAATGGTACAGGGTGGGCAATTCGAACAATTTCGCTAGACTTACACAAACATTAGTGTAATTTTACTCGTTTGAAATGTAATTTTGTCAACTTTGTCCTTTTCGGAGCCATTAATAGTGTAAGTAGACAATTATCACTTATAAGAACTTAAGGTGCATTTTTCTAAAAAAAATTGTTATGTAAGACATCGAAATTTTCACACCGTTGTTTAGATAATTATCACTGTCATCAATTTCGAACGAAAAAAATATGCGTTGTCATTTAAAAAAAAATTATGTCATCGCTGCCGTAAGTGGATTATCGAAAAAAAAATTTTTCCACATAACAAGGTGCCCTGGATCAAATAAAAATCGACGGGTCTCACCGTTTTTCGAAAAAAAATTGTTTAACGAAAATATGAATTTTATGCAGAACTTTTTTACCACGCTGTATACATATGTCAAAAATATTTCGAAGTAAACAAAAACTATCTCAGCAGGACAAACATACTAGAAAAATATTTTTTATACATATTGGCCAAATATTGTAAACGACAGATTTTGATATTATACTGATTGACAATATGAACCCAAATATGGGTCTGACGTTAATCTACTGATTGTATATTGGACCTTTATAGGAATTATATTGACTGCATATATTGGACGTCTGTCTTTTACCAATATTTGCTAAATCTTCCAAATATTGGGACTATATGACGCCAGTATTGGGCCCTTATATTGTGCTACTGGGGTACTACCCGACACTGTCAACCTTAGCTCATTAATTTTTACTTATAACACCCTAGACACCGTTAAATTATTATGATAAGTTTTGTAAGCTACGATTTTGTACATACTACATTTAGATAATTTTTCAAGTTTGGCGACAGCAATACAATTCAAAATATAAATTTGAACATGTAACTTCTTCATTGTGTATTATTATTTGAGCAAACTTTGTATTTTTCTCTTCCTTTGATTATAATTTATTAATATTATTAATTGTAAATAATATACTTGATTTTCTGTACTGGTACTTTTCAGGTTGCTTAGATTTGAATGCATCCAAAGACTCTGAGCCTCAAAAATTAATATCTAGTGTAAATGAAATGTTTCTGCTAATGTACAAATTAGATATTCTACCGTCAATATGGAAATACATTGAAACTCCATCATGGAAGCGATTTGTAAAAGTTTTAGACTTTATAACTGAGTAAGATTGCGTGAATGTATTTTCGTTAGGTACATTTACTATAAAAATGTTTTTAGAACATTATCGAAACATATAGACGAAGTTTTCACTAAGACTATTTCTGATGATGTACCGGAGGATCAACTAAATATTCTTCAAAAACTAACAAAACAAGATAGACATATTGCTTTTGTTATGGTCATGGACATGTTAACGGCTGGAATTGACACGGTAAGTATTTTTTAACTCGGAGGTTAAATTCTCGTTTATGAGAAGATAAATGGCTGAGGTAGTATTGGGCATTAAGTTACCAACCTCAAAATATCGATTTACGTATTCACTTGTTTACTATCACAAATTACAAACATTGTTATCTTAAATAAGTAAAAAATCCAATAATTATTAATGATGTTCAATAGATTTGTATATAAAAATAAATATATTATAATTACACAGAGTGTTCTAGAAATATGTGTCGACTGACTAATAAAGTAATATTTCGGCATAAGCTAGAATAAATGAATAATTGTATTTATAAAAATCCTACTACCTGGATGTAAATATTTTTAATTAAGTCATTTCCAATATTTTCAGTTGTCTCATTGTACATTTAAGCATATTTTCCTGCATTAAAGGTATTTGTCGGTGTAAATAAATCGTCCCAAATTCATTGACACTCCTGATCCGGGGGACAATGGCCAAAAACACTAACATATACAGGATGAGTCAACGATTGGTTAAGAGTAGATTTACTCCGAATTGCTAAAGTTTATCAAAAACTATTCCTACAGGATGATAAGTACGCTAACAGGGCACATTTTAAAAATATTTTAAAAGATACAGGCTGCTGTGTAACAGACCAAACTTACATTTTTTTAAATGGAACACCCCGTATTTTACAACATTTTTAGATTCTACGTTTAATTTGAAACATTTTAATATAAAGTTTCCTATATCTAAATTTAATAGTTTCTGAAATAATTGGAACTAAATAAAAAATATTCCATTTTTCTACCTGTATTTAACAGTAGCTATCCTCGTTATTTTTAAGAATTAAAACAAGATTTTTGGTACCGTGTTACTGTAAAAGTGGTTTGAGAACGTCATGGATTCAAATTTTGATTAGCGCCTACAGGGTGTTCATAAAATAATGACAGATTTGAAGAAGTTTAAACTAAAAAATCTTAATGTTCTTAAATGGATCATCCTGTATATTTTTCAATATTCCTTTAGATCTTTCAGAAACTAACAACTTTTGTTAACCATGTCCTATACCTATACTCAATACTTCTGGAGATACTCGCTTAACAGTGTAGTGGAGCATTTTTCGTAATTTTATAATTTGGTCCGTAGGCCTGGCAAATATATAGTAATAAATCATAATCATATTACGTCAAATATAATAAATACTGTTTTCTTTATTTACTTTACATTAAATAATTTAATAATTTAATTATAAAAAGAAAAATTTCGTCCTTTAAATAAAATAATGAAAATAAGTAACAAATACTCATAAATTGTTATATCAGAATAACTTACAATAATTACAATACACAACAACTAACACAGAGTATAGTACTTAATATTAAGCAAATACACCGAACTAACAGATATAATAATTTAGACAAAATCTTCCATGAAATCATCTAATTAAATTTTCAAATAAATGACCATCCTGCTGAGCGCATAAATTTTATCTTTCTTTCAAAAATCGTCTTACTCTTGATAACATTTCTGGAGTTATACTTCTACATGATTCTCTTATTCTATTTTTCATATCATCAAGAGTTGTTGGTGGATTGGTATATACCTGCCCATTAATATAACCCCACAGGAAAAAGTCTAAAGGATCGTTCTGGATAATTGTCATTTAAATACATATATTCTGACATCATGATGATAATGAGCGGGCGCTCCATCGTGTTGTATAAATATATTTCCTCGTTCAACAATATCAATATCTTGAAGAAGATTAGGCAAATCATCTCTCAAAAAACGTTAGGACCATTTAGGTGTTCATTAAAAAAATAAGGTCATACAATTCTTGTATTTAAGATACCATACCATACATTTAACGACCAATTATTTTGGTACCTTACTTCCCGTAGCCAAAATTGATTTTCTGTCGAGTAATAGTGCATATTGTGCCGATTAACTAAGCCGTTACTTTTAAAAGTTGCTTCGTCCGAAAACAATATTCTTGTTAAAAAATTTGCCTCTGCTTTAATTTGTCTATTCATAATAGTACAGAAATGTACTCTCTGTTCAAAATTATTTCCGTGCAATTCTTGATGTAGTACTTATATTTCCTAGTTATTCAATTTACAGTAAATTGTGACATTTCAGATATGTTAGCCACCTGACAACTACTAACATGAGGATCTTCTTCAATTTGAAGTAAAACTTCTAATTCCTTATTCTCATTTGACGCATTTCTATTAACTACTTTCCGTTTTTTGTAATTAACATTACCACTTTCATTAAATCATACCATTAACTCTTCAAAAGACTTTTTAGAAGCGTCTGTTAGGATATTCCATTTTATACATTCTTTGAGCAAGAAGGCAATTTCTTTCGGCAGCACCTGATGCATACACCATATCTATTAGTTAATTTCTTGTAAAATTAATTTTGAATTTCAATAATACTGATTTAATGTTTAAAATCTCAATAACAATGCACTGACAAGGCTTATGTAACAATATTGATTATTTTGTTTTTAATTATCATTTTGTTAGTTTTTAAAAGATCTAAAGGAATATTGAAAAATATACAGGGGCACCCTGTATATTTTAAAATATTTTTAAAATGTGCCCTGTTAGCGTACTTATCACCCTGTAGAAATAGTTTTTTGATAAACTTTTGCAATTCGGAGTAAATCTACTTTAACCAATCGTTGACTCACCCTGTACACTTGGGCAGGTAATTCTTGGGATATAAATGCAGAGTACAGTTCGTTTAAACTTACGATCTTAAACGACACGCTTGCAGTACTGGTAGTGCCATCTGTTAGAAAACAGCGAGAATTTAATTCAACGTCCCATTATTAAAAGGTATTACGTGGTTAAAACTTTGGCAAATATTTCTGGGACACCCTGTAGGTATATCCAGAAGCAACTTAGTAAAAATTAAGTACCTATTATTGGGATATCCTACTTCTTTCTTTCACTTACTTTTGTGTATGATATGTTCGATGTACTACCTTTACTAATTATTTTCAGACTGGAAAAACTATGGCTGCAGCTTTATATTTCCTGGCGAAAAATCCAGACAAACAACAATGCCTACGAGAGGAAGTATATAATAACCTTCCCGAAAAAAATTCATCCGTCACCAAAGAGATTTTGAATAATTCCCCTTACCTTAAGGCGGTAATAAAAGAGACAACTAGGATAGCTCCAATCGCCGTAGGAAATGTAAGGACGACCATAAAGGATTCGGTGTTAGGAGGATATAAAATACCTAAGGGAGTAAGTATTGAAAGTACAAGTATCTAATAAGCAACAAATATATATTTTATAAAAGGTAGTAGTACATAATAAGCTTATTTTTGTTTTTCATCCGATGAGGTGTCTACACTGGTTGAAGGATTTCTAGTGTTTTTTCATTACTCTCCATATGAATAATATGTTTTCCATTTGAGTCAAAAATTTTATTTGGAATAACGTTGTCCTTAATCAAATTGTTCGCTCCATTATAGTACGATTGATCCAAGCTCGATAAAGTTATGTAGGTATTTGAGACATTTTGTGCCAAAATAAATTTTAGTTCATTGGATATAGATACAAATATAATTTAAAGCAATTGTAAACATAACGATATAGATTTTAAATTTATTAATGTTCTTTTGAAATAACAACTATTTCTTCTTCACAGACAGAACTTATTAGTATGCACATAGTTACTGCAAATTCAAAGCATTTTAAAGACCATGAGAAATTTATGCCAGAGCGATGGCTTCGGACGGAGGACAGTGACTACTCTTACAAAAACGTCCATCCCTTTGCATACCAGCCTTTTGGTTTCGGTCCAAGATCATGTATCGGCAAACGGTTCGCCAACTTAGAACTAGAAATTGGAATATCAAAGGTATTTGTTGATGTTTAGGTGCAAATTACCTACAATTTAAGATACCTAGATTAATTTTTCACTAATTTGTTAATTGCAAAATAAAAGTCTAACGCGGAAATATCAGTTTTCGAAAATTGCATATTATTATTGCAAAGCCGAATTGAACCTAATGTGAAACGTTCAAGTAAAAAATCTCGCCCGTGACAGAGGGCAGTGTTCACGCGCTTGCGAAGGACTGGCGCTCCTTCTACCGCATGCTGGCCGTTCATTAATGTTAACTTTTACTGCTGCTAGAGCGTTTATTACATGAACAATTAATGTAAAACTTTTTTAAATAAAAGTTTAACCCTTTCTTTAATTGTCTCTAAAATCCCGGTCCCATACGACTAATAGTTAATTAACAATTAACGTTATAAATAAACCTATCTTGGAAACAAAGAGGCGAAGGAGGTGATTTGTCTTTTTTTTAATTATCATAGAAATAAGCTCTATTTAATGCAAAAGGAGAGAATTCCCGAGCGGCTTTTGCCTGACCCTGGGACAATTTGTTTATAACCCTGTTTATACACGTTCTACTTTGTTAGTTTTTTTTTTGAAATTTTTCTTTTTCGATACGTTCCTTTAGATCAATTATATCTACTATAACAATATATCTATATTTACAATATTAGTTTGTAAAATTAACGTTTAGTAATTAAACAATTAGTTGCAGAAAAACGAACGAAATTATTTAACAAATACCTGGAGCAACAATTTCATGGTCAACTGAATCGGCCTTTGGTACACACGTTGATCTTTGGATTGACCGTCTTTTCCATAAATTTCATCAACATCCATCGCTTTTTGCAATAATAATACATACGTAATTTTGGAAAACTGACGATTCCGCGTTCAACCCTTATTTTAAAGTTAACAAATTGGTGAAATATGACTTTGGGTGCCTTACATTGTAGGTAGTTTAATTGCCTACAACATGAGAGTCTAAATTTTCATGGGAAGTAAAAAACCCTGCCAACTCAGCGTCACTTCATTTCAGTTACATTTTTGACATTATCATTCTACATACCCTTCCCCCTCATAAAGTGCAATAAACTGTCTACTAATAATTTTTTCACGTCCAAACTCTAATTCAACTGTAGTATTACTGTTTATTGTATGATCTGATGTGTTTTTTCCAGATTATAAGAAATTTTGAATTGTCCTGGGCTCATGATGACATGGTGTTCTCTGGAAATTTCTTATATGGCGTCGAACGTCCACTAAAAATAAGGGTTAAAGAACTTTAAAAAGTCGTACAAAGTAAATATAAATTGTATAATATTGGCATAACAGAAATAGCACATAAGGAAATTTAGTTATACAAACTGATCATGTTTAATATTGTATTTTATTTTGACAGAAAATTATGTTACGTCGTTACAATATTTAATTATTTGACTTTTGTTTTTCAAGAAATCTAGTGTATTAACAAATTCAAATAGGTTTTCTACAGCTTTTACTCAATTTTCATTCAATATATATTTTTATAATAAACACTGACGAATATTTATAAATCTTTATTAAATCATTTGTTTTATTTTATCTTATGTAAGTTTTTCTAAACCACAAGACATATAAAAGAAGGCATATTCTAAGGACCAATGATTTGCAACACCAAACACAAAATGGTTGATGAACCGTTATGCAAGCGGTTAGAGAACTTCATATACGCAAAGCGGGTTGCATACCTCCAAAAGGTCCTTTTTAAATTTTTCAATCAAATACAAAAAATAACGTTACTAAAACATATATTTTTTTTACATCTAATACAGTACAGAACGACTAGAAACAAATATACTTATTTATTAAAAAATAAAAAGTACAATATATTAAACAAATTTTATATTTAAAATATAAAAGTTAAACAAATTCTTATCTTATATATACATTATATAAATAAACTTTCAAGAATGAGTATACTTTATGTACAAATAAAAAATTTAAAGCACTTTATTTTAAGTCAAATAGATTCTATTCTCATATAGAACGTCTTCATAATTGATTATGAAGTCAGCATCATTTAACTAACAATGTCGACACTCGTCGACCCTGTCTTTCTGTGACTATACTGTATAAAATTTTAAATTCTTTGATATGTTTTCCTAACATCTTGAACACTCTTAAATTCAGTGCACTTTTTTAAAAATCAAAAGACCACGACATATTTAAACTGACATGATTGTGTGATATTTCTGATTCTAAAATCAAAACTATGATATTGATATTAGGAATTCAGTACTCAGTATGTTCTTGTTTTCTTTTTTTGTGTGTGTGTGTATGTGTATTTTGTTTTCATATATAATCATAAAACGTAAATATTATTTACATATAATTATAGAATTTTTTTACATTGGAAAATGAAAATTATCAAGAAAATAATCAGTTCTATGCAACCAGCTATACTTCCATCAAACCAGATAGTACATTGAACAGGGTTTCTTGTCCCAATGTTAAATGCTATAGGTATTATAGAAACAATCATAAAGTGAAATATTGGCAATTGGCATTCAGGTAAGGTTGAAACAAAGCGGATTTTTATTGTAACAGCTATCGGTCACTGGCATACATCATGGAGGTAAAATGAATGAAAATGTATAATGTTAACAAATGAAATATTTAAGTTACTTACTTTATTTTAATAACTTTATTTGAAAAAACAATTTGAAAATTGTTGAATAATATAGGTATTTGAAAAAAATCTACTTGCCCTAAGCTCTAGCTAAAACCTAAACTGATCTTTTACAAATATTAATTCTAGTAAAATCCCAAATAATCTGGACACAATTTAATAAAAATTCAGTAATACGGAGCTGATAAGTTTATCGGAGAATAAAACAGACCGCACAAATTTTGTTTCAACAATCTGACCTTAGCATTAGCAGCAGTCAGGGTCGGTTTTCTTATCTAGTATACATAAATATACAAACATAAGTACAGTCAGATGTACACAGGCTGTTACAAATTCGCTTTTCACTACAGGCATCTCGAAAACAGTAAGAGATACGAACTACCTTAAAAGGGGGCAAAGTTGGGTAGTCAGGGGACCAACATTATGCTTCTAAAAAATCAAGGCTAACATGATTAGTTTTCGAAATATTTGAAAAGAAAACCGAAATTTTAGAAATCCGTTTTTGTTTCATTTCAGCCTTGTTTGAGGTGATTTTCAAAAAAACACTTTCTCTCCTCAACTTTTTGCCCTTTATCGAATGACATAATTAGTTTTTATATGTAACATTTCGTCTTTCCAGGACTATCATCAACTTCATTTTTTTAAGTACGATCCTGGAAATTTTATTACATATTTTGCAAGACTTCATTACCCCCAATACTGTAGGTACTGCCTCTTTTTGAAATATCACCTCAAACTAGGGTGAAATGAAACAAAATTGGATTTCCAAACTTTCGTTTTTTTTTTCAAATATTTCGAAAACTGATCATGTTAGTCTTGATTTTTTAGAAGTATAGTATTGGTTTCTCGATTACGCAACTTTGCCCCCATTTAAGCTAGGTAATTCGTATCTTTTACCGTTTTCGAGATCCCGGCAGTGAGAAGCGAATTTGTAACAGCCTGTATATAATATATTCATTATCTGGTTTTTGTATAGAAATTACTTTATTTCAAAGATTATTCTTTCATTTCCAGTTTAAGAGACTTGATATGTCATTTATAAATTGTATACAAAGCCTTTAACAGTACTTGCATTAAAAGGGATGTTCAAAACTTCTTATTTTATTTTATGTTTCCATTAAATCAGCAAAGTATGTTTATAAACATACTGTCTGTAACTTTTTGTTTGTGGTATTTTTAAAATTATTTACAAACTCATCGTGGTCCTTTTAATTTTATTTGCTGGTGCACTATTCTTCCTGCCAAATTTTCTAGAAGACTTCCTAAGGATATCGTCAACAAATAAAGTTACTTCATCATACTCTATTACCTCATATTTCATACTTTTAAATTTTTAATTTATGCTTATCAAATAAACTTTCACCAGTTTTATGTTTATATGAAACTCTTAAAAGGATACATTAAAACTTCTTAACTATATTACGTATACAATTTATTATTATTATTTATTTTCTTGAACAAAATTACTGATTTCATATTATGTATGATAAAAAGGTTACTCTGACCCTTGTAGATACTACACCACAACAAGAATCCGTATCACTTGGTATTAGATAAACGAGGTTTGCTCTGCATTTCAGTTTAATTTTTTAAATTTAACCGTCATTTTCAATCTTCAAGATGTTTAAAAAACTTACAAAACTGCGTACATTTAATGCTAATTTTATTTGTACTAACCATTCCAAAAGAACCTCGGGAACAATAGATATATCGAAGAAAGACGACTACTACAAGAATCTAGGAGATGCAGAAGAAAACATTGATGTGAAACCTCCAGAATGGGACAAAGCTCTACCATACGAGTCTATACCCGGACCTAAACCACTTCCTCTTATTGGAAATATATTTCGATTTTTACCGTTCATAGGAGAGTATTATAACCTGCCTATGAAAGAGTTGCATGAGGCGTAAGTATAATTTTATTTTTCACGTTCTTTATTGTTAAAAACGAATTTTCTGCGGTATTACTACCCAAAATTTAGAGAGTCATATCCAGACAATTTATCCGTTCCGAATTAGTGTGTTAAATTAACCATTTTTAGAATAACTTGCATCAGACTATAGAGAAGTTCTTCAGTTTTCATCAGTTACGACATTCTGTGGCGTTACAGTAGATATTCGCGTTATACTGGGTGAGAAACCGTTCAATTTTCCAATCGCCCTGTATATTTAAGTGAATTTTGTATGGACAACTTGCAAATTTTTTGTTTTTTAATCTGAGTCGAGTATAAGAAGTAACATGATTTTTTGTTAATCAGCAATATTTGTTGAATTAAAAACATGATTATTTAAAGAAATATTGTTGTAATAAAAGTCTCGTTAGGAGGTCTACAACAAAATAATTAGCAATAATTTAAATCACTGAAAAATACCTAAAGCCCGAACGTTTTAATCTCGATCTGGTTGCTACCTTGGCATCTTAGCAATGCACTTACTGTAGACATACTTTCCAAAAATTTTTGTCAACACAGACTTATGAGACTACTACAGAAGAAACTAAATTACAGTCAATGGTAAATCATACTTCGTGGAAATGTTAGCCTACGCGATCGTATAGTTACTAAGAATGTGGAGACATTATACAGGGTGAAAGAAATTTGACTACCATTACTTCAGCATGAAATAGAGTAATCATAAATCAACAAAAAAGTTGTATATTACAGGGGCGTAAGATTAACAGTTTTAAAAATACAGGGAGTATTAATATTGGGGAGTTTCATCACAACGTGACAACAGCGCTTAACCTAACTTACACGGGTGCGGCAGACTTGTCCTATGGAAAAAATGTAAACAACTATTATTGTGAAACATTTAATAAATTTCAAGACAATTGTTTTCCAGTTTTTAAATAAATAAAATAAAATGTATCAATTATTTAGTACGAAGATAGTATTGTGCTTAAATTTTAGCTCGAATTTTAGTAATTATGAATCTCTTAAAAGAGGAACTTAATTTTTAATCAAATTATGAATGTGAAAAACATGTAATTAAAGTACCCAAAGATTCAAATCATCCAAAAAGCAAAATTCAGTAATTTTTAAATGTACAAGTACAAAACAAACTACAACATATGCTCAAAATGTCCACCACCATTTTCGATGCATGCACGAAACCTTCGAATCCAATTTTCGCGCACAAGCTAGAAAACACCACAAGAAAAGTAAATAATGGTACGCAAAAAACACTCAGACACGATCCAATTCCAGATACCAACTGAATTGCGTATTGCTGGACGGGTGACAGCTTAGTACCTCGTGTTATCCGCCGCGCCGTTGTTACATTGCTCGATATGAATTTTATCGAATTTTAAATTTATTACAACGCTAATTATTTTTTAGAATTAAGCATAAAAACGTTCAAAAAAGTTATAAACTTTGTATTTTATGGTATTCTATGCACGCAGTTATGTGAATAGTCCTTAATTAATAGAATCAAGTTGGAGATTTTGATAATTTTTTTCTCGGAAATGGTTGAGTTTAGAACCCATGTCATATAAGTTTTTTTTTATTTTAATGTATTCTATCATCTGTTAAAATTATGACAGTCAAACTTCTATCACCCTGTATGATAGGACGTCCATTTACGCGTATTACTGATCAGAAATCGGTTTCCATTATGTATAGGTAATAATAAAAACTATAGTGAAAACGAAAGTGTCAATTTTGATTTTAAAGCCTATGGTATTTGCCATAGACCTTATAAACTGCAAGGACTATGCAAAATAGAAATGGCTCTTTAGAAACTATCACAAATATGTCGTCGTTCATAAAATTGGTAAGGAAAACATACTACTTTATCCTTGGACCTTGGCGTTGGCCCTTTACGTTCAGCCATACAAAACAATTATGTTCTGAATACTGTTGATTAATTTCTCATTTGAATTTCCATAATCTTATATGAATGCTACTTTATACTTAAACTATCAGTTTTACATATTCGCTCTGATGGTTGGTCTAGTCCAGGGGTCGGCAAGTAATTTTAGGTGGGGTCCGGATACTTTTAAAAATTTTTAACGAGGTCCAGAAAAAAAATTAATATTTCTTACAAATTTTCATTTGGACTCAAATTTAATCTGCTTACTAACCATTAAGAACTCAAAAACTCACACAATTGTAAAATACTTGAAAAAATGATAAGGTTGGCGCTCAAACGTAAAAAAATATTTTTTAAAGAATTTATTTGACTAATTTATGCTTTCAAAAAATTTTTGGCGGTCCAGTATTTTACCTTCTACGGTTCGGACCTGGACCGCGGTCCGCCAGTTGCCGACCCTTGGTCTAAGGATTACGAATATATACTTTTGGAGACAAAATTCATCTAATTTAACTTTCTACCTTATGTTTTCATATAGTGTCACAGCGGAATATACCTACAACAATATTTAATAGTACCTATATTTCGCAATAAGAGATGAAAATATCTCTTTTTCGTAAGAGTGAACAAATTACCCACGATCGACGTTAGCGACGAGAGGGACAAGTTCACGAACAATGAAAAAAATTGCTTTAAAACCTTAAGGGAAGATAAAAGGAAATGAAAAAAAAAAACGTATGCACCGCACAGAAATGGGTAAAGCATCGTGCGCTGGCAAAATGGCGACAAAACAGCTGATGAACGTGATCGAAACGACGCGAATGTGCCTTGGCTTATAATATGCTCTTGAGAAGGAAGATTGCAGCTTTAGTGGATTCTGGAGCAAGCGTAAACTTCGAAAAGAATTTCGGATATAGCCCAAGAAATTGGCGACGTTACAGCTAGATAGCAAAGGGCTTTTGCGAAAATTAGTGGACCTACGGACGTGAGTTACTGTCTAGATCAGGGATGCACAGACTTATAGGGAACAGGGGCCACTCGGGAAAAATATAAGCCAAGGACGGGCCACTACAAACAATATTTATTAACACAAAATTTTTTATTTTTAAATAGTATGAAATACAATGATAAAAATAAAATAACCTTCAAAAATGTTTGTTGTAATAATTATGTAATCATTACAATGTAATATTTCATGTTTTATTATTTTGATGCATGACATTGCATTGAACTAACAAGTTTTTTTATATTTGGCTCCACATTACTTGTAGCCACACGTATAATTGCTTCCAAATTTTCATTTGCCAGACGGTTTCGGTTTTTCGTTTTGTTAAGTTTCATCACTGAAAACGTTTGTTCACAAATATACGTCGATCCAAATAAGCTTGCGCATTTCAATGCATTTATTCGCAACTCTTTATAAGCGTTTTTATCAACGCAACGGTAGAAGTTGAGTAAATTACCTTCATTAAATTTGTTTCTTAAATTATCATCATTTTGCATGTCTATTAATTCCAGCTGCATTAATTCCGGCGCATTTTCGGGTGAAATGTTGAAAGGATTGCTGAAAATGTCCAATAGCGGTTTAACTTTTTTGAAGTCTACAAAACGATTTTCAAAAGCTTGTATCAAAATATCAATTTTTTCAACATGAGCGAAATTGACGTCAGTTTTATTGAACTTCTCCATAATTTTTTTGTAGTTCGGAAAATGGCCGTAATTGGCTGAATTGATTTGTGTCCTGAAAAGACTCAATTTGCATTGAAAGGACGAAACATGAGAGTATAGCTGCGAAATCAATTGATCTTTGCCTTGGAGTCGCGTATTTAAGACATTCAAGTGATTTGTGATGTCTACAAGAAACGCTAAGTCACACAGCCAATCAGGGTTGTCGAGTTCGGGGACGTCGTTTTTCTTTTCCGCCAGAAATAGTTGGATTTCTTCAATCAAGTTAAGAAATCGCTGTAGTGTCAACCCACGACTTAGCCACCTTACTTCAGTGTAAAACAGGAGATCACCATATTCGCTTTCAATATCCTCGAGAAATTGTTTGAATTGTCGGTGATTGAGACCTCGTGATTTTATAAAGTTTACGGTAGGTACTACAACTTTCATAACATTTTCAAATCCCAATAATTTTGAACAGAGGGCCTCTTGATGTATAATACAATGAAACTGCATTAATTCCTTGGTATTTATGTTTTTAGTTTGTAAATATGTTTTTAACAGAGTTACTATCCCAGATGTACTTCCAACCATTGAAGGTGCTCCGTCAGTTGTAATTCCAGATATTTTCGTTAAATCCAAATCCATTATAGAACATTTTTCTAGAAGAGCTTTGAGCATGTCACTTCCCCTGGTTTGACTTGTCAAAGAACTCATACCAATCAGTTCTTCACTCACTTCAAAATTTTGCGTTACACCTCGTAAAAATATTAATAGTTGAGCAGTTGAACTTATATCTGTAGATTCGTCGAGCGCTATAGAAAAATACTCAAAACTTCTCGATTTCGTAGCTAATTGCTCTTCTATATTATCTGCTAATGCGGTAATTCTTCTTTGAACAGTCATCCGATTTAACTGAATTTTTTCAAACTTCTTTACATTTTCCGGACAAATTTTTTTTGCGGCGATATCCAAACATTGCTTAACAAACTCACCATCTTTAAAAGGCCGACAAGTTTTCGCTATTATTCGAGATATTTCAAAGCTAACTTCAGTGGCTGTTTCAGCATCTTGAATTGGTTTTGTAAACATAGATTGCTGGCCTATTAGTTCCCGTTGTAAAGTGGAAATTCTTTGCGTTCGATTTTCGCCAGTTAATTTGGTAAAAGTTGGATGCTGGGTTGGACGTACAGAACAATCCTGGAGACCCATGAACTAAAGTAGTCAAGAGGACAACGCTCTGCGTACGCTATATTTTATTGAATTATAGTAAAGTATTTGACACTTTAGACAATTTAGCAATTACCACCATTTGTCACTAAAAATGTAAAAAAATCAATTACCTACATTAAAGTGTTTAAGTTCAGCATAGTGCGGCATGGTCATGCTTAAGTCACTAATGAGAGATTTTTATATAACATTTTTTATATTTGTTTAAAAATAGGAGTTTCTCAGAGTAGTATATTGGGGAATGTTTTCCGCACTTATCTCATATTTGTTTTGGTATCTAAAATTTTGTTATTTTCACGCTGATAATATTCAAATTTATTACCATTTTAATTATAATGGCCTTAATACAGTTGTTGAAAATATTAATTCTGGTCTTGCTGCTATCAGCAAATACTTTAATGGCAACGGATTATTGACGAAAATAAAACAAAAATGTTAGTGTTTGGAAAACATCGTAAAGTTCTTGAAAATCAATATTTTAACAGAGAATTAAATAATCTAATTCAGAGCCAGTGCCCAATTAGCTATAACAATTTTTTTTCAGAATGAATAAGGATCTATTAGTAAAACCAGCTTCAGGTAAATTACATTTTTTTGTATAGGGTTTTCTACAAACTGGTAGAGAATATTTGAAAAACCTCGATTTGCAAAAATATTTTTCGTAAATGGAATACTATATATTTTTTAAATAACCTTATTACATTGGTATGATGCAAACTTTCTGAAACCACTGATTTCAACGATAACTTCTCCTTTTTTTACGAGTGTCGCAGTTTTCATCTATAAGTCATCACCATTTCTATTCATATATTGCTGTTGTATTCATGGGTAGTATGTTGATTCGCATATACACATACCACAAGTGAAAAAAATATTTTAGCTAAGATTTATAATTAAAATGTAGTGGACCTTGCGAAAGGACGCGATAGTTATAATTAAATATACTAGTTTCAAGGAAGGATTTACATACATGGATTATTATAATCATGATCATAAATGTGACATAGCCTCGGTGTTTATTGGGAAGGCCTCCTAATATGAAGAAAAATTTTTAAATTCTCTCAAGTAGAGGTAAATCTAATAATAAATAATGTAAGCATACGTATTACATCAATGAAATAAAATTTCAATTTGTGTATGTAACAGTATAATTCTTAATAGATTGTGATCTACTCCAATTTATTTAATTTGATTTTACTAATTTACTTTTTGTATTTTTGTAATAAAACGACTATGAGCAGTAGAGATGACGAATATTTGCGAATTTTTAAAATAATGAATCTTAAACTGAAATTTTGGTAAAGTTTTAAAAAACGTATGTTTTCAATATCTAGTTTATGAAAATCTACTATCGAAATAAATGAAATAGACCCCTGAGTTTGGAAACCGATATTAAGAAAACATATTGACAAAAAAATTAAAAGTTGGACCATCTATAGCAGGGGTCGGCAAGTAATTTTAGGTGGGGTCCGAATACTTTTGAAAATTTTTAACGAGGTCCAGAAAAAAATTCATACTTCTTATTTTTTTTATTTGGACTCAAATTTAATCTACTTACTAACCATTAAGAACACAAAACACTCACACAATTGTAAAATACTAGAAAAAATAATAAGATTGGCACTTAAACGTAAAAAAACATTTTTTAAATAATTTATTTAAGTAATTTATACTTTCAAAAAATTTTTGGCGGTCCAGTATTTTACCTTTCGCGGTCCGGACCTGGACCGCGGTCCGCCAGTTGCCGACCCTTGGTCTAGTCTATGGATTTGAATAAGTTTTTTGAAAAGGAATTGCAAATCGTTGATCTACCCCATACATTCCTACAGGATATGGACAAGTTGAAAGATTAAATACAACTTTATAAACAACTATCGAATTATGAAATTTAAAAAAAATAAATGCAGAAATGTGGTAACAAGTATTGTCAGACTCTTTTCATTGAATTATATCTCTATTTTGCACATCTATTAATCCCATTCCACACTCCGAAAAATTATTAGTTACGTTCTCGATCCACAAAAGGAGTCAATTCAGGCTTTTCAAACAGGTTCCTGTTTTAATAGACTTGAGGTAAATGCTAACTACTTATTAGATTAAACAATGAAAGAGAAACTAATGCCTTTAAGAGATATCATTATTAAAGCATACGTATACTTACATTACAGAAATTGTCTTTACTTTTAGATTTAAAAGAAGATATGGTAACGTAGTGAGTCTTACAGGAATCGGAAAGGAGCCTATTGTATTTCTTTTTGACGTACATGATATGGAAAAAGTGAGTGAAAAGTAATCTATTCACTTCTTAAGTAGATTTGAACTCTGTTCATTAAATCCTCCCTTTTGCCGAACCAGAAAACGAGGTGTGATTCGAACCGAAGTAATTGTTTTGAAATAATCGAAAAACTTACATGTGGTTTTTAGTCAATTGAATTAAAGTTTTAAACTGTAACAACTTGCAAGCAGGTGTAAACTTATTAATCTTGCAAAAATCGACATTTTAGCTCCCATGATGCAACTTTATCAAAGGGTTTGCTGTTCATCGATAGATAGATAGATAGATAGATAGATAGATAGATAGATAGATAGATAGATAGATAGATAGATAGATAGATAGATAGATAGATAGATAGATAGATAGATAGATAGATAGATAGATAGATAGATAGATAGATAGATAGATAGATAGATAGATAGATAGATAGATAGATAGATAGATAGATAGATAGATAGATAGATAGATAGATAGATAGATAGATAGATAGATAGATAGATAGATAGATAGATAGATAGATAGATAGATAGATAGATAGATAGATAGATAGATAGATAGATAGATAGATAGATAGATAGATAGATAGATAGATAGATAGATAGATAGATAGATAGATAGATAGATAGATAGATAGATAGATAGATAGATAGATAGATAGATAGATAGATAGATAGATAGATAGATAGATAGATAGATAGATAGATAGATAGATAGATAGATAGATAGATAGATAGATAGATAGATAGATAGATAGATAGATAGATAGATAGATAGATAGATAGATAGATAGATAGATAGATAGATAGATAGATAGATAGATAGATAGATAGATAGATAGATAGATAGATAGATAGATAGATAGATAGATAGATAGATAGATAGATAGATAGATAGATAGATAGATAGATAGATAGATAGATAGATAGATAGATAGATAGATAGATAGATAGATAGATAGATAGATAGATAGATAGATAGATAGATAGATAGATAGATAGATAGATAGATAGATAGATAGATAGATAGATAGATAGATAGATAGATAGATAGATAGATAGATAGATAGATAGATAGATAGATAGATAGATAGATAGATAGATAGATAGATAGATAGATAGATAGATAGATAGATAGATAGATAGATAGATAGATAGATAGATAGATAGATAGATAGATAGATAGATAGATAGATAGATAGATAGATAGATAGATAGATAGATAGATAGATAGATAGATAGATAGATAGATAGATAGATAGATAGATAGATAGATAGATAGATAGATAGATAGATAGATAGATAGATAGATAGATAGATAGATAGATAGATAGATAGATAGATAGATAGATAGATAGATAGATAGATAGATAGATAGATAGATAGATAGATAGATAGATAGATAGATAGATAGATAGATAGATAGATAGATAGATAGATAGATAGATAGATAGATAGATAGATAGATAGATAGATAGATAGATAGATAGATAGATAGATAGATAGATAGATAGATAGATAGATAGATAGATAGATAGATAGATAGATAGATAGATAGATAGATAGATAGATAGATAGATAGATAGATAGATAGATAGATAGATAGATAGATAGATAGATAGATAGATAGATAGATAGATAGATAGATAGATAGATAGATAGATAGATAGATAGATAGATAGATAGATAGATAGATAGATAGATAGATAGATAGATAGATAGATAGATAGATAGATAGATAGATAGATAGATAGATAGATAGATAGATAGATAGATAGATAGATAGATAGATAGATAGATAGATAGATAGATAGATAGATAGATAGATAGATAGATAGATAGATAGATAGATAGATAGATAGATAGATAGATAGATAGATAGATAGATAGATAGATAGATAGATAGATAGATAGATAGATAGATAGATAGATAGATAGATAGATAGATAGATAGATAGATAGATAGATAGATAGATAGATAGATAGATAGATAGATAGATAGATAGATAGATAGATAGATAGATAGATAGATAGATAGATAGATAGATAGATAGATAGATAGATAGATAGATAGATAGATAGATAGATAGATAGATAGATAGATAGATAGATAGATAGATAGATAGATAGATAGATAGATAGATAGATAGATAGATAGATAGATAGATAGATAGATAGATAGATAGATAGATAGATAGATAGATAGATAGATAGATAGATAGATAGATAGATAGATAGATAGATAGATAGATAGATAGATAGATAGATAGATAGATAGATAGATAGATAGATAGATAGATAGATAGATAGATAGATAGATAGATAGATAGATAGATAGATAGATAGATAGATAGATAGATAGATAGATAGATAGATAGATAGATAGATAGATAGATAGATAGATAGATAGATAGATAGATAGATAGATAGATAGATAGATAGATAGATAGATAGATAGATAGATAGATAGATAGATAGATAGATAGATAGATAGATAGATAGATAGATAGATAGATAGATAGATAGATAGATAGATAGATAGATAGATAGATAGATAGATAGATAGATAGATAGATAGATAGATAGATAGATAGATAGATAGATAGATAGATAGATAGATAGATAGATAGATAGATAGATAGATAGATAGATAGATAGATAGATAGATAGATAGATAGATAGATAGATAGATAGATAGATAGATAGATAGATAGATAGATAGATAGATAGATAGATAGATAGATAGATAGATAGATAGATAGATAGATAGATAGATAGATAGATAGATAGATAGATAGATAGATAGATAGATAGATAGATAGATAGATAGATAGATAGATAGATAGATAGATAGATAGATAGATAGATAGATAGATATTGTCCAACCAGAACATTACATGTTTGCTATGGGATAAGTCAAGTCTACATAATACAATTGCATGTTAAAAAAAAGGATATAGGCCGATCCACATTAATTACAATACAAACAATAAATAATTAAAATAATAAATACAATATAAACATATTAATAAAATACAACCTACAACAAATTAAAATTAAAATAAGCTAACAGCTATTGTCAAAAAATTCCTGAACGGAGTATGCACAAATTTTTAATAAATATATTTTAAGATTTTTTCTAAATAGATGAAAATTATTTATGTTTTTCAAATGTTGAAGTAAATGGTTAAATAACCTCAGTCCCAAAACATTGTGAGCTTTCAAAGTCATGCCGAGGGTTTCAATTAGACACAAAAATTATGTGTTACGAGTATAATGACAATGAACAGATACATTGGTAATAAAACTTTATTTAATTTTATAAATATATGTATAACAATATTTTGAAGGATATACAATCTTTTCGACGGGAGAATACCTAATTCAGTGAAAAATGGGCGGCATGACTGGGTCTAGGGTACTCCAGCTATACATCTGATAATACGTTTCTGGACAATGAATACGCTATCTGCCCTACATGAACTTCCCCAAATAATAATTCCATATGCTAACCTTTATTGAACTTGTGCAAAATAAAAGGAAATTAACTGAGGTATTTCTAAAACATCCTTCAAAATTCTTGTTTGTTAACGCTTTGAATTTAATATATTGGTAAGTTTATCACAGTGACTCCCAAATGTCAAAGTTTCATCTAAAGTGATGCCCAAAAAACGAAACAGTACTATTTTTCTCGATATTGATATTATTAAACTTTATATTTAGGGAAGATGATATCCGACTTTGAGGTGTATGAAACATTCCATAGTTTGTTTTAGCACTATTAAAGAATAAAAAATTTTCACTAAACCATCTACATACATCGGAAATACCTGCGTTTATGTTATTTTGATATTGATATTGATATTTCACACTTATCTGAAAAGAGGAGCAAGGTATCGTCAGCTTATTGTGAAACAGATGCACCAGGAATTATTTTTGGCAATTCATTGATATAAATAGTAAACAGTATGGGCCCTAGAACAGAACCTTGGGGGGCACCAATATCATAACTTAAAGTGGAAGATATACAGGGTGTCCCGTTAGCAGTTAGACCAAATTATTGGTTTCAACATGATGGAGCTCCATCACATTATGGTGTACGAGTATGAAATTATCTGAATCAAAACTTCCCAGAGATCGGAAGAGGTGGACCATGGTCTCTTAGATCATCAGATCTGAATGCCCTTCTTTTGGAATTATTTAAAAGAAAATATTTACAGCGAACCTGTTGGAAATCCAGAAAATGTATAAGCCCGTATACACGCTGCAGTCGCGTTAATAGAGCAAGAGATGTTACACAGAGTTTATGCTTCAATGTTGAATCGTGATAATCTTTGTCTTGAAGTAGAAAGCAACTTATTTGAACGGCTTTTGTAAAAACAATTTCTGTTATTTAAGCACATTATGGTTTTTCCTCTCCATTTTATAAAACTGTTTTATTATTAAAATGTTTTTCTCTATCCTTTTCAGGTTAAAATAATTCCTTACACCCAGGTACAACCGACAATCGGAAACTATACTTGCCTACTATTAGTTATAAATTACTTGTCTTTGAGATAAAAAAATGGATTTTAATTTTTTTAGTTTTTTGAATAATTTTTTCAATAACTCAAGCAAGAAAAACAATCGAAAAATTTTCCACTCTTGATTTTCAATTCCTTTTGTCTCCTTATTCAAATCCCAGAAGGACGGGCGTCACTTTTGGGACACCCTGTATAAGTGGATTAAGTGGATTTTTTATTACTTTCACATTTGTGTATTTTGACCATTTGCTTTCTTCCCCTTATATATGAAGAAAACCAAGCAAAGGTAAGCAACTGCTAGAGCATTGCATCGATTGACGAAACATGTTTGCCGAATAACTTGTAACTACGTCTTTAAAATTATTTAAGTTTTGATTTATATACCCATTATGTAATAGCCACTGTAAGTAACACAAATATATATTATTTATCAGCATCTTAGAGGTGCAGGGGCATTTCCTATCAGAAGAGGCTTAGACTCATTCACATATTATCGTACAGTAACAAGAAAAGATGTCTTTAAAGATGCTTCAGGAATTTTAACTATGTAAGTATAACAATTTCTCTTTATAATCACTAAATATTGGGATCATTAGAAATGATCTAAATAAACAATATTAACGCACCAACATTATAAATCCCCACAAAAATTACATTTTTTTAAATAAATTAATAGAAACAAATGAAAAGCAACAAATTGCATTATTTAATTAGTTTAACAGTATTATACGAAAAATACCAATTTTACAATTTAATTTGAATAAAATTATGTTGGAAAAGTGAATAACAATTAAATGGTAACAGAACGCAATGGATGGTACTATTGGAATATTAATAGCTTGTGTTGTCTCGTCTACTTCTAATTCTGCATTTATACGTCTAGGCGTGCTTCTAATCAAATTTTGAATGACATCCTGTGGCATGTTTTCCCATTCTGTAAGAACTGCATTTTCGAGTTCTCTCAGGTTCGCAGGTGCAGGTATACGTTTCTTTTAAGCATGTCCCAGAGATGTTCTATCGGATTCATGTCCGCACTTTTTGATGGCCGCTCAATAAACGGTATATGAACGTCATTGATGTAATTCAGTACTTCTCTAGCAACGTGGGGTCGAGCATTGCCCTGTATAAATAAAAAATTGCCTCATAAAAAAGGACCAAAGGGCATTACATGTTCAACTACAATGTTCTCCAGATAGAAATTTGCATTCATAGATCTGGGTCGAATAGGGACTAACTTTGTGCGAGAGTTATAACAAATTCCTGGAGAGATATTGCATTGCGCAAATCTTTCTCCTGGTCTCCGCCAGACTCTTCGCGACCATCAGGAAATTTTAAACTCACCCTAGTTTGATCCGTGAATAAAACTCGTTTCCAATTGTTTACAGACCAATTACGATGATCTCTGGCAAAGCGCAACTTGGCAACTCTATTCTGTCTGGTAAGCAGTGCTGCAATTGCTGGTTTTTTACTTGCCAGTTTCTTTAAGCCTTCTGGCTGTTCGAGAAGAAATCAAAACTTTTCGGATAGCTTCGAAGTCATTTCTTAACGCCGAACTAGTGATTGACCTGGTTCTTAAAGCAGATTGCCTCAGAAAACATTAATCTCTTCCACTGGTACATCTTTTTCGCTCTTGTCCTGGCCTCCGACAATAAGTTTCCGTTTCATTAAAACGTCTAATCACTCGACTCGACGAATGGTTTACTCCCAATAAATTAGTAACATAACGCTGAGAATATCCCTCATCGTTTAATGTTAATGCTCGAACTGCCTCATATTCCGTTAAATTCCTTGGAGGATTCACTTTCAAACTTTAAACTAACTCGTAACTTAATATCCAAAACAAGCAAACAACGATAATCACGTTAACCAGAAAAAAACAATAATTAATCTCGGTTTCCAATAGATTTTTTCGCAATTAATGATTAAGGGTACCGATTAACTTAAAACGTCACTTTACAATTGCCAAACAATTGCAGTTTGTTTATAGAATTGTCAAAAAAGGTCCCAAGCCTACTATTTATATTCTTGTTACTTACTTCTTACCCCACCCTGTAACAAGTTCATATTGTTAAGCCAGTCGCACATTAGAATCTGTGTTTTGCTTTCAAGTTTGTAAACACTCTGTTCAATATTATTCAACATGTGTTAGCTACTATAAACTTGTGCCTAACAAATATTTAACTTAGGTATCTCATTTTGATACATTACAAGATTGTTGACATCTTTATTTCTAGTCAAGGAGTAGACTGGTTTAAGGTTAGATCCCTAGTCAATCCTGTTTTAATGCAGCCTAAAACAGCACAACAGTATATAGGAAGCATGGACAAAGTCACAAATGAACTCATTAAAAATATTCGTTTTTTCTCGACACAAAATGAAAAGAGCGAAATGCCAGAGGACTTTCAAAATGAGTTATATAAGTGGGCATTGGAATCAATTGGATTTTTAACACTTAACAAACATTTAGGTAATGAAATATTTCAGTATTATTATTTTTTTAAAACTTGGTCCCATGCACTGTGTTTTGAAATATGTATATCTATAAATTCACAGGTGATTTTTGACATTAGAAGTAAAAAATTGAGTTCCAAATCCTTTTCAAATCTAGAGCAACTTTATTTTTCAACTGTCACGACAGCAAAATGTTTTAAAGTGTGAGATTGAACTACTTGTATTCTCTGTGTTATATATTACTACTTTATTTTGGTCTTCGCTTTGCAAAAAATTAAACGCCCTTCAATACTCTAAATTAGGCTAAATTTTATATCTTTCAAGGCTTCCTGCAAACTACGAAAAAAACGAATGTGAAATTAACCCTCTCCTTTTCGAGAATATAAAAAGACTTTAGTGTTACTTTGTGTTAAATTCATTGCGGTTTTGACAAAAAAATAATATCTGTTGCGGTTGCCCAGAAAATACGAAAAAAGTGAAATATTCTGGTTCCCCACTAAAAATTGTCAATTTTCAATGTGCTAGATTTTGACCGTTGAGAAGAATTTTTATACCTAATACCTATATTTCTTGCGTTTATATCTAATACAGCGTGGTAAAAAAGTTCTGCATAAAATTCATATTTTCGTTAAACAATTTTTTTTTTCGAAAAACGGTGAGCCCCGTCGATTTTTATTTGATCCAGGGCACCTTGTTATGTGAAAATTTTTTTTTTTCCATAATCCACTTACGGCAGCGATGACATCATTTTTTCTTAAATGACAACGCATATTTTTTTCGTTCGAAATTGATGACAGTGATAATTATTATCTAAACAACGGTGTAAAAATTTCGATGTCTTACATAACAATTTTTTTTAGAAAAATGCACCTTAAGTTCTTGAATGCAATAATTTGCTGTTTACGGATCAAATGCCTTAGAAAAAAATTTATTCGGCAGAAAGCATTTCAGATAACTTAAGTTGCAACTGGTGTTATGTAATATTTGCGGAATTATTCATCAGATATTGTCAGGATCCTGATTAAACTGCAAAATTTAGAACCAAGTTCAACCGCACAAAATCCAAATAGTATGTAGCAAATTAAGGTCGACTTTTTGTCTTCGAGTTTGCCGATAAATTCCTAAAAAAAAAAGATCCAAAGAAATGTTTACTTGAAAGGAGTAGATTACCTGAAATATTGAAGACTAAAAATCAGTACCGATTTAACATTCTTTGGTGAAATCGTTTAATTCGAAATGGCAAAACTTAGTGAACGCGAAAGAATTGATATTTTGAGGATGATTGGTTTCGGCGATAAGTTACGAACCCATCAAGAAGCTTGCCAATTATTTAATGCAACGTACCCTGACAGACCACCAATTACGCAATCTACGGTTAGTAGGGTACTGGCAAGGTTTGAGGAAACTGGTAGTGTGAAAGATGCTCCTCGTGCGGGTCGTCCTAGAGTAGATGATGAAACTAGATTGAATATCCTGGTGGAGCTCCAGGACAACCCTCATTCTAGTACAAGGTCGATTGCATTGAACAATGATATTTCACATGTAACTGTGGTGAACTTTCTCAAAAAAGAGAAATTTCACCCCTATAAGGGTCACTTGATACATGCATTGACTGAGGACGACCCAGACCGCCGTCTCCACTTTTGTGAAGATTTAATGCATCGATGTAACGGAGACCCCGACTTCCTCAAGAACATAATTTTTTCTGACGAGGCTACTTTTTATCTTAATGGATCGGTGCATCGACATAACTGCCGGTATTGGTCTCAGGAAAACCCGCACTGGGTGCAAGAAGTAGATCATCAGCACCCCCGAAAGGTGAACGTTTGGGCGGGAATAATAGGGCGTCGTATTTTAGGCCCGTATTTTTTCGAGGAAAATTTAACTGCTGCTCGCTATTTGGATTTCCTGCGGTTCGATTTGGTCCCAAGCTTAGCAGAGTTATTCCCGAACAACGAGGATCCTGATATTCCTGAGGAAAGAATTTGGTTTCAGCAGGATGGTGCACCGCCCCATTATGGAGTGCAAGTACGGGAGTACTTGAATAACACGTTTACTGGCCGGTGGATCGGGCGACGCGGAACAATCGAGTGGCCTCCGCGTTCGCCTGATTTAACACCTCTAGACTTTTTTTTGTGGGGCTATTTGAAATCGCGTGTGTACACAAACAGACCAGGTGATTTGGAAGAACTTAAAAACCGTATTCGTTTTGAAATAAATCAAATCGACCCGGGAATGCTTGAACGAAGTGTAGACGGCGTTTACACACGCTTAGGACAATGCCAAATGGTACAGGGTGGGCAATTCGAACAATTTCGCTAGACTTACACAAACATTAGTGTAATTTTACTCGTTTGAAATGTAATTTTGTCAACTTTGTCCTTTTCGGAGCCATTAATAGTGTAAGTAGACAATTATCACTTATAAGAACTTAAGGTGCATTTTTCTAAAAAAAATTGTTATGTAAGACATCGAAATTTTCACACCGTTGTTTAGATAATTATCACTGTCATCAATTTCGAACGAAAAAAATATGCGTTGTCATTTAAAAAAAAATTATGTCATCGCTGCCGTAGGTGGATTATCGAAAAAAAAATTTTTCCACATAACAAGGTGCCCTGGATCAAATAAAAATCGATGGGTCTCACCGTTTTTCGAAAAAAAAGTTGTTTAACGAAAATATGAATTTTATGCAGAACTTTTTTACCACGCTGTATATATTTATACCTAATACATATATTTCTAGAAAATGTGTACACCGAAATTTCCTACCCTCCACTTTAATTTTTTTCATTTTCAAGATCGTCTAGTTCACAATGTCCCGGAAAATTTGGAAAACTGAGTATGAAGTTAGCTCTTGCTTTTAAAGTTAAAAAACCGATTGTACTTAATTGTACTAACTTTGTGCTACATTGCGCAAATGTGGAAAAACTGAAATTTTCTTGTGGCCAGTTTGCGAAAAAACTTATTTATTTCTAAGTGCCGTTTTGAATATTATGCTTTTAAGCAAAATTTTATACCCGAGTTTATACCATTCGTGATTTAATGGAAAATGTGGAATCTAGAAATTTTTGATACCACGCTTTGTAAAAAAATTAAATCTTTTTCGATGTACTGCACCTATTAGTCGTTCTCAATATTGTGCCGTTGAAAAAATTTCATCTTTCACAATTTCCAATAAAAAAAATAAAAAAAAATTATTTTTCAATATTCTAGAATCTAGATTATACTAGTTATTCCAGACATAACTCTGAAAAAATAGATAATAATTTCAATATCGGTAGACGAAATTAATTGTATAAAATCAATCATTTTTTGGCTGAACATTTTGACGTATGGCATATTTATTAAAAATTTCGTTAATCCAAATTTTTTAATATACTAAAAATTTACCCCATAACCTTATTCTGAAGAACTTGTTTATTTATCAAAATTTCAGCTCAATCGGTTGTTTTATAATTCAGTTGCAAGATTTGACCCATACTAACAAGGCAAGTTAAATAAAAGCTTGTAAGTACGTCGTACTGTAAATCAGATTCGATGTTTGAGGATATGTTTTCTATTCCCCAGTAATTTTTCAATAAAACCAGGAAATAAGATAATAAACAATATTCTTTCTAAATCAAGCATGCGAACCAATGGATTATTATTTGTAAACTATCTTTCATTCGAGACCAAATAGAAAAATTAAGAGTATTGAAGTCCGGACTTCTGAGTGGCCAAGCAAAAATGCTTCCACGGCTTGAAGAAGTTCAACTTACTTTATTTAAGAAGAGACATGTGATTCATGCACGACGGAGCTCCACCGCATTTTTTTGGCCAGTACGTGCATATTTAGATGCAGTTTTTCCAAATCGCTGAATTGGCCATGTAAGCATTTTTGCTTGGCCACCCAGAAGTCCGGACTTTCATACTCTTGATTTTTCTTTTTGTTCTTGAATAAAAGAGGTTACAAAGGATCTATTGGTTCGCGTGAAGAGTTGTCGCAAAAAATACAAATCGCTGCCTACGAAATCAGACACAATTCCAAAATGTTGTTTCACACTCGAGGATCTCTCAGAAAACGTTGTGTAAAGTGTATCAGTATCAATGGTGGATTCTTCGAATAATTATTTTAAATCATTATTACGTATTTCATTTGTTTTATTGTTAATTGTTGTAATAACATGAAGAAACTCTTGGTTTGTTTCGCTTTTAATTTCTCGAATTATCCAAACACAGCGTTCGTTAAATCGATTTTTATCGAAATCGGAGCGTGATACCGAAATGAAAATGGTAAAATGATTGTTCTTTCAGGTTTTGAATCAAATTTCATGTTAGATACATACAGGGTGAAAAGTTATTAACTAAACTTTCGGTAAAACTGGTCGTAATTGGCGACCTCTATGAGCAACGCTGAAATTTCAACACGTATCTTATTCGTCGCTTAAAAAATATAGTTTCATAAATTTTCAAGTTCCTAACCTAGATATTTTCAGAATCATCGCAAAACAACGATTTACAATTTTAACTTTCAACACCCTGTGTTTCCGAAACTATCATACATTCGGATAAGGCATGTTTCCGCCAATGGTCACCATTTCACATGTAGTATCTTCAGCTTTCGATTTTCCCATTGTTAATTAATCACCCTGTATATTAAGAACATTTCCGTTTTTTCATTCCACACTTTCCGGCAAATAGTGATAGACATCAAATTTTTCAGCGGTGCAATCTGGCAGAAAGTTAACACAATTTATTTAGTACAACCATTTTTATATCGAAAAATGAAATGAGCTAACTTGGACCAGCTACTTCCACCAGTTTGAGTAAGGCCTATCAGTTGAGGGTTTAAATAAGACGGAAAGACATTTTTAGACAATAACTACAGTTTCTACTTGAATTTTTGCACGATTTCAAATAATTGGCTTATAAAAATAAAAAGACTGCTGCCACATTATAAGGTGCGTTCCAAAGTAAACAGGACATTTCAAAAATAGGTATTTCTAGTGAGGCCATCTATTGGCAATTACATGCATCGTAAAGTTAGATCCTTCACTGTACTGTCAAAATTTGATGACATTTGGACGATTAGAAGCGGAGTTATTGTATCTGAAGTGACAGTTTGTTTATACAAACAATCGAAATGTATCGATTATACAATCGATACAAAAATGAGCATCGAACAAAGAGGTAATATTAAGTTTTGTTTTAAAGTTAGTAAAACTTTTATCAAAACGTTTCAGTTGATAAACCAAGCTTATGGTGATGATTGTTTATCCCATGTCTGTTCATGAGAGGTTTAAAAACGGTCGTGAGGACATAAATGACAAGCAACATGTTGACGAACCAAAATACGTGGTCACTGCAGATTCCATCAAAACTGCGTGAATTCATCAAAGATCAACCAAAATCTTCATTGAAATTGGAATTGAGTATCTCAAAAATATCAATATAGCGCATTTTGGCCAAACAATTGGGCTACCATACACGTTGAGTGGCGACCAAAAATTGCTCAGAATTCAACATAAGAAGGACATCATCAAGTAGGCTGAAAAAGACAAAATGTTCCTTTACGACATTGTGACTAGCGATGACATTGAATATCAGACTATCATATGTATCTTATAAAAAAAATGTGATCCAAAAACCAAGCGCCAAAGTATCGAGTGGATGGCGCCAGACGAGCCAAAACCCAAAAAAATTCGGTCCACCAGGCTAAACCGTTAATGCACAATTCTAACTTGGAACTTTGAAGCATTTGGTGCATCGTGCTCGTCGTATTCGGCCAAATTATCGTGCAGAAGGCGTTTGTTGCACGATTTTTTAACTAAAAATCACGCCCCGTATTCGCCTGATCTCACACCGCATGACTTTTGCCTTTTCGGAAAAATTCTTTTTCTGATAAAAGGAAAGCATTTTGTGGACGTAAAAGCCATCTAAAAGGCTTGGACCGACATCCTGAAGGACATCCCGGCCGACTATCTAAAACACTCATTCGACATGCTTTTAGAGCGTGCAAATCGCTATATTGAGTTGGAAGGGGACTATTTTGAATAAAATAAATCGGTTTCGCCAAAAAAACCTTTTGTTTTTAAAAAGTCCTGTTTAATTTGGAACGCACCTTGTATATGCACATTTCGATATTTAATTGGGAATTCCTTTATTACTTGCCTATACTTTTCTGGATCCAATTTTGGATGCCCGTAAGAATCTAGAACCTAGAACCACGCAGTGTTATACTTTGATCTTAAAGTGTAAGATATATCTACCTAATAACCTAAATTTTTCAGGGTGTCTAGATTTAAATGCTCCCAAGGATTCTGAGCCTCAAAAATTAATTTGGAGTGTAAATCAAATGTTTCTGCTGATGCATAATTTAGAAATTATGCCAGCAACATGGAAATACATCGAAACTCCATCATGGAAGCGACTTGTAACTGTTTTAGACTATGTAACAGAGTAAGACTATTTGAAAATGTATTCGTTATATTTATTAAAAACATATTTTTAGAACATTATCGCGAAATATAGAAGAAACTTTGAATAAGACCATTCCAGAGGACGTACCAGACGAACAACTGAATATTCTACAAAGACTAAGCAAACTAGATAAACGTATGGCTTTCTCTATGGTTATAGACCTCTTTATTAGTGGAATCGATTCGGTAAATGAGAATTTTTACAACTTAAATTAAGGTTTAAATTTTCATTTATAAAAATGTTATTCTGAAACATATTTTCTTTCAAACCTGTAATAAATCTTTATGTAAATTTGATGGTATTTGAATTAAATTCATATACAACTTAAATTAAGGTTTAAATTTTCAGTTATGAAAATGTTATTCTGGAACATATTTTCTTTCAAACCTGTAATAAATCTTTATGTAAATTTAATGGTATTTGAATTAAATTCATATACAGGATGTTTTAGAACTAAGTCGACAAAATTTGACGGCACATTTCTCAATTTATTTATTTTCCGTCATAAATCTGTTAATGGTATTAATTAAAGAAATATTTTAACTTCGTTGCATTTATTTATATTATTTATATCACAGAATTTAACCCCCATTTTAAATTGAATTAATCTATTGCAACACTCTGTATAAATCTTGCTATGTTGTCATTATTTATTATACTTCTCCTTTCTTTCACTTATGTATGCCTTTGAGGGATATTTATTTACTACCTTTTACCGATTATTTTCAGAGTGGAAAAACTATTGCTGCAGCTTTGTATTTATTGGCAAAAAATCCGGATAAGCAAAAATACCTACGGGAGGAAGTATATAATAATCTGCCCGATAAGAATTCACCAATTACTAAAGAGATTTTGAACAATTCCCCTTATCTTAAAGCAGTGATAAAAGAGACGACTAGGATAGCTCCAGTTTTCCCAGGAAGTTCGAGAACTACCATAAAAGATTCGGTTCTAGGAGGGTATAGAATACCTAAGGGTGTAAGTGTAAAAATATAAATAAATAATTCAGTCAACCCCATGTGGCTAAACATTCAAGTTAAATGCAGATTTCGTGAACAACTCACATTATATTCACAGATATCAAAAATTAAATAAAGCATAAATAGATTTATGCTGCATGTTGACATTTTAAAAATGTGCACTGAAGGTATTCATAGTTATGTACCTATGTCGTAAACAACAAAATAAGACAAACGCGCAACAGAAGAACTAAAAAATAATTATTTTATAATCATATAGGTAATTTGTTTGTCCTCGTTTTGGTTACTTTTGTAAAAATAAATATCAATAAATATCAATATCAATTATTTAATAATTTAATATATTGAATATATTGAATATACTGAATCGCCACGGTAGCGCAGTCGGTCGAGAGTGCGGTGGCAAGCATTTCTCGGCTAGGCTTCCTACTCTGGTTCGGGTTCGATCCCCGGTGTCGGCACTGGCAATGTCGATGGATAATGGGTGTTTGTCCGCGTTTTTTCAAATGTAGCCCCCTTCCGCACAAGCCTTTGGCTTTTGGATTTGGGGGTTGTCTCATTTCTGTGGTGTGTTTATGTTTTTATGTTTATTTTTAAGATGTTGATAAATATTTAACAATTCTCAGCAAATTTTTATACAAATTTTTGTTTTCTGATGATGTAAAGTCATATTCTTTACGAAACTGATAATAGAATACAAATAAAAGAATTTTGTAAGACAAGTAAAAAATATATTTTATATTTATAAATAAGTAACGTACGTATACATTTAAATTATACAAAATACAACACATAATTATATTTTGCAAATGAAAAATAATGTTTTTAAAAACAATTTATTTAACACTTGAATGTGTACAGAATATCAGTCAAACAGCTGAAACGATTACAAAGTATGTACTGTCGCTAGAAAGCGTTTTGGGCCTATTTATATGTTCGCTATCCGATGTTTATGTATTTAGGATGATCTTAGACCCTTGATTGATATTTTCTTATCGGATGCTAAAAGGACTGTTCCTTAATTACATAACAAATTTTATTTCTCATTGACATTAAATTCAAGATATAAATGTTATTTTTCCAAGCGAATAATTAAGATTTATATTTGTTTTTAGATTTAGTTAGGTATACTGACATTATATATTAGAAATTTATTTTTTTTTATTAAAATCACTATGATAACTCAAAAAGTAGATAGGAAAAACTTTATAACTACTTCATAAAAACAACCGCCCTCTCCACCACTTTACTATTCGATTACAATTATTCATGATATGACATACAAAATGATGCTTGCTGTTTATTCCAAAAATATGTATTTATACGAGGTCATCAAAATGTGAAATTCCAAGTTTCTGGTTACAGATGTTGTCCCACAAATTTCTTATTTTTAAGTTTAGGGAAATGCTAAATCAGAAACGATAAGTTGTTTTTAAATGGCGTTGTAAACCAAACTTACTATTTTAAATGGAACGCTTTGTATATTATTTCATATCTAAATAGAATTCAACTTAACAGTACGGAAGATATGCTATTACAACACACCATAAGTGTGATGTGACTGATGTCTTAGAAAGATATTTTAAACTTGTGTAACATTTATCGATTTGTGATACAATAAATTGGTAAAGAACTTCGCAATTCGCTATTTTTGCGGTACGTTATTACACGTTATAGTAAACTAGCCAATTTATTAGTCTGTCAGTCGGTAGGTACTGTACCAATTTTTAATAAAAATCAATAATCGTAACGGCAAACCACGAACGTTAATACACTTTAACTTACACCGGACTTACACAACTACAATAACAAACGTGTACATATAATTTATTCCTAAGAATATAATTGAAATATATATAATTAATAAATATTGTCACTGAAAATCACCGAAATTGGCCAATACCGCCAATATATTGGGACCGGTTTCATTCTAACTTCTAAATCTTAGATACTTCACTAATTTCTAAATCAATTTATTGGGTAAAAAAATTGATAAACGTTTGTATAGTACATTACTATTATGGTATGTACTAATGGCTATATCCTCTTTAGCAAGTTGATATTATTGCAACCCGAAAATGCGGTTAGTTCAAGAATTGCATAATATGCTGGGTGTTCCATTTAAAAAACATGTAATTCTCTCAGCCAATGAAAAGTGAAAGTGGACTCATCAGAGAACAAAACATTTTCTAGTTAGATAACATTGTTAACATTTGCATCATTTGTTCACTAAAATACGTTCTTTTATCAAAGCCGCCCTCATTAAGCTCCTTATTTGCGATCAGTTTATAGGAATTTTTGTGTATCCTTTTTAGTTGATAATGTTGAAAAAGAACACTCCCTCGGGATTTTTTTATAAATGTGCACAATAATTGAGATACTGAATTTAATCCATTTGGCTGTTCCTCACTGCGTTCACATTAAAATGTATCTAAACATGCTTGACGTAGATTGATTAAACTTCAACTATTGAATTAATATTACTAATTATGTCGTGGTTAAAAACACCTTGTAGATTAATACAGCATTTTTTCTATTATTCTAAAATATGATCTTTGTTCTTCGGCACAGACAGAAGTTATTAGTATGCATATAATTAGTGCAAATTCGGAACATTTCAAAGACCATGAGAAATTTATACCAGAGAGATGGCTTCGGACGGAGGACAGTGACTACTCTTACAAAAACGTCCATCCCTTTGCATCCCAACCGTTTGGTTTCGGTCCAAGGTCATGTGTCGGCAAGCGGTTAGCTAACTTAGAATTAGAAGTTGCAATATCAAAGGTGGGTACGAGTATTACTCATTTAATAAAAACTATGACGAAGATAATTTCTTTGAACACTGACTTTTATATTAATAGTAGTATAGTACCATCTAACAACGGGATTTTCGAGAACTGTGATCTGATATCAGAAGGATCACTATGGCTGATTTTGGATTAAAAAAAAAAGTAAAAGTATCTTATTCCTGATAATTTTCGAATGCGTAGCATAAGCAATCGAGACCCAGACTTTAAATTTAAAATTTAATTTCACTCTTGTTAGCTATATTTTTTTCGATTCTACTGAACAGATCAACATGATGTCAGTTTCCGAAAATCCCTTCAATGTATCATATTTTCCTTCATATCATATCAAAATTATTTTCCATACACACATCGAAAAAAAGATCATACCTTAAAAATTAGTCCTAGTGTCAAAAAATGTTACATAACGTATCTTACAGGTTATATTACACAGCCACACAAAAAAAAAAGGTTGTCGAGTCTGAATGTCTAACTACCACATGTTTTCGGGGTCGCTGAATCCGAATCCGTGATCCATTTAATCCTATCACGTCAGGTTTTATCGATAACCCCATATCACTTCATAACCCAAGCTAACAAGTCCTATTATACACAACGGTCCTGTAAAGGGAGCTGTCCACCCACAATAACCCCATAATCCTATACATTCAACCTCAAACTTCCTAACCCCATAACCCTGCAATCCCATAACGCCATAACCAATAACTCCAATAACCACGTTACTCTGTAGTTTGACTTGATCTCTCATCGCGGGAAGGCTTCATAAATACAGGGTAGCCCATCGAAAACGTACCGCAAGGCATTACAGGGTAGTAATGAACTAATAATCCAAAAACAGGTAAAGTTTACTTTTGAGGGAGACAACTTTTGGCGCAAAAAGCATAGCCATCCCCCAAATTTTTTAAAATGGGAATGGGGGTCAAGTGGAGGGTCATTAGAAAGGGCTTTTAATTCTCTATACATCGATTCTTACTTTTTGAAAATCGATCCATTATTTTATAAAATATGCAGCTTTGAAAATACGTACAATATTTTTGACGAGAAATGCGAAAATCGATTTAATTTTACTTCAAAACTTACGGTTAAACTTACTTGGAAAATTCTTTCAAAAGAATTCGCTGTTTTTTTTTCTGATTTGCGAATTCTTTAGCCTGATTTTGGTGAGCAAAAAATTGTCCGCTTTTTGTTTCGTATTTAGATAGGCCACAAGAAGTTGCTAGATAACTGTCTTGTGACTTGTAGTTGAAGAGTACCAATACTGCCGAGTCTTTTAAATTGATTAATTATGGTGTACTCAATTCCAGAAAGAGTAGAAATTATTGAGCTTTTTTTCAAAAACAATGAATGCGGAAATCGGGTCGCCGAACTGTTCAACCAACGGCATCCTGAGAAACATGCGTCTGGAAAAATTGTTCGCGAATTGGTGGCCAAATTTCGCGAAACTGGCTCCGTTCATAACAAAAAGAGGCAGGTTGAAAATCCGGTACTAAATGAACCTACGGAAATAGCGGTATTGGGGCAAGTGGCAATGGATAGTACGCTGAGTACAATGCAATTGGCTACTGCGACAGGAGTGAGTCGTACAAGTGTCCAACGAATATTAAAAAAATACAAATTCCATCCTTATAAGATTCGGCTAGTGCAAGAGCTAAATGAAGACGATTTTGATCGTCGTTTGCAATTTTGCGAAATAATGACTGAACGAGCGATAAACGATAATTTCCTCTTTAATGTGTGTTTTTCGGACGAGTGTACGTTCTTCTTGAATGGTTTAGTGAATCGCCATAATTGTCGTTACTGGGCTGATACCAATCCAAGGATTTTCCATGAGACACACTCCCAACACCCCCAGAAGTTGAATGTATGGGCAGGTATTTTTGGAAATTCCATTGTAGGTCCTTTTTTCCTTCCTGGAAATTTGACAGGCGATATGTACTTGGATTTACTACAAAATGTCATCGACCCAGCTCTAACAAATATCATAGAGGACGACCCTGCTTACAATGAACACGAACTGATTTTCCAGCAAGACGGAGCTCCTCCACATTACTCGCTCAATGTGCGCAATTACCTAAATGAGACGTTTCCAGGACGCTGGATAGGACGAAGAGGTGCAATTGAGTGGCCCCCTCGGTCACCCGACTTAAATCCTTTAGATTTCTTTCTCTGGGGGCACATTAAAAGCAAAGTTTACAGCACTCCACCTGATACCTTGGAAGATCTGCGAGGACGAATCATTAATGTATGTCGCGAAGTAACACCGCAAGTGCTCCAGAATGTTCGACAACGGTTTGAAGACAACCTGTATCATTGTATGCAAGTTGGCGGACAACATTTTCAGCATTTACTTGACTAATACCGTAAGTTTTGAAGTAAAATTAAATCGATTTTCGCATTTCTCGTCAAAAATATTGTTCGTATTTTCAAAGCTGCATATTTTCTAAAATAATGAATCGATTTTCAAAAAGTAAGAATCGATGTATAGAGAATTAAAAGCCCTTTCTAATGACCCCCCACTTGACCCCCATTCCCATTTGAAAAAATTTAGGGGATAGCACCCCCACTTAGGGGGTTGAAGATTTTGGTATGCTTTTTGAGCCAAAAGTTGTCCCCCTCAGAAACAAATTTGACCTGTTTTTGGATTTTGCCGAAAAGTTCTTTACTACCCTGTAATGCCTTGCGGTACGTTTTCGATGGGCTACCCTGTATAATATATTTAGCGCTATAATCTTCCAACCTCCTAACCCCATAACCCTATAACTCTATAACCCCATAACCCTATGGCCTCATAACTCCAATAACGACGTTCCGTAGTAGGTGGAAGACGTCCGAGACGGGGTTTCGGATGACCAGAATCGGCGGCTGGTCAAGGTGCGAAAGAGGGCCCCGCGGCAGAGAATCTAACGGAGATTATGAAACTGGGAGCCAATAACGATATAGGGTTATGGGGTTAGGGGTTTGGGGATTATAAGGTTAATTCTGTTTATAGATTCCTGATATATACCGCGATTAGAGAGCAAGTTAACCTACTGAATTACGAGGTTATTGGAGCTATCGGTTATGGGGTTACGGGAATATATGGTTATGGGTTTGTAGGTTTGATGTTGAATGTACAGGATTATGGGGTTAATGTGGGTGCACAGCTTCCTTTACAGGACCGTTGTGTAATAGGACTTTATAGCTTGGGTTATGGGTAAAATCTGAAGTAATGGGGTTAAATGGATCACGGATTCGAAAAACATTTAGTAGACATAGTCTGACCTTCAGACTCGAAAACCATTTTTTTATGTGGCTGTGTTATCAATGCTTTTCTTCCAGATAATAAGAAATTTTGAATTATCGTGGCATCACGAGGACATGGTATTTTCTGGACTGTTTTTATATGGTATCGAACGTCCTCTCAGGATAAGAGTGAAGGAGGTTTAATAATAAATATAAATTATGTTATTTAAAGTGATGACAAATATAAATTTAACAACTTTGGTAGTGGTATATAGTTTTCAAAAACTTTTTAGTCAATATGTATTTTTAATTATGAATAATAAACTCGTATAAGCATTTAAATACATTTATTGAGTACATATCTTCAGGAGCATTTAATGCATTTCCAACAATTTGTGATTGTGATTTGATTTCTGTTATTCGCAATTTCTAGTCTAATCTTTTATATCCGGTTAGATGGAAAGTATAACTGGTTGCATAATACTGAATATTTTCCTTATAATTTTTGAAATACATTTAAATTAAATAGTTGGGCAGAAGACATAATATGCAAATTAACTGCGCTTAACATAAACAATTCTATAAATATTTGTAGTGCAGTGATTTGAAGAGTCTATTGTGTCGTTTTTTTTTTTGGCATAGAACCAGGTCAGACATGGTAGGTTTTATTAAGCATGTGATTGGGAATATGAAATCGTTTTTTACGACATTTTTTCTTGGTTGTTTCGTGTACACAATCACCTAATTAAGAAATCGCACAAAGTCTGGTTTGGTTCATATAACAATAGTAATTGTAATAACTGAATAAACCAAAGTTCGGTCACTATTTGTGCAATTGATTATACTGGAAAACCTTTCCTCTATAGTTTGTACAATATCTGTTGAGATAGAATTCCAGGAAAATAATAAGCCAATAAAGTTCTGTTAACGGAACTACTGTAACAATTTACCGCGGCAGGGGCGCGAAATTTTTCGCGTTATTTTCTGAATATTAAAATATGTATAAAGTAGACTTCATTTTTTCGACTGGAAATTAAATTCTTTTCTTTTATTTTTCACCTCCATTGTTTTATTTTAATAAGAAATTACACTGAAAATGAACAGGACTATACACTTACGAAGAAACAGGCCTTCGTAATTTCAAAACACAGTATGCACTACAAGCTACTACGGTGAACGCCACGCTGCCAATGTCTGTCTACCTCGGGTGTCGAATGCGATTAATTCCAAGAAACTGACGAAGGGGTCTTCTTGGAATTCTATTTCAACAAAGGTCGTACGGACTATACTGACTGTAATTATTTATTTGTGGCAGTTTCAGTTACTCTTTTTGTAGTATTTGATTTTAAATAAATAACGCCTTTTCTCAAAAAGGATTGATTGATTTTATTAATTAATTTTTACTTAACCAAGAATATCTCGCACTGAGAAAGTAGATAATAATTCTTCACGAGTACACTGATATGTGATTATTATGTAGGTGATGATGAATTAATTTCTCAGTGTTAGATATTTCTGGTTAGGCAAAATTAAATTTACAAAATCAAACTTGGTTGATCCTTTTTGGCGCAAGGGTTATTTATTTTAATTTGTTTATTTCCACTGTGGCATAAATAAATATACCCAATCAAATGAAAAGATTAACTTTTAATTAACACATATATCTACCTATTTATTTAAGTTTTTTATTTTTATTTATGTATTATTGAAAATTTTGTGACATCATACAAAAATTCACTATCGACAATTAAATTCATAAAGAAAAGTTCGTTTGATATCGTTTTTTAAGAGATTGTATGAATGCAAGAAAGGTTTATACTGTACAAAATTTTTTAATTTCATCTTAATACTAAAATAAATTATAAATTTAAATAGGTAGCATTGACATTTGAGTGTTTTCATATTTAAAATATCAAATATTTGACTAAATATTTGATATATAAAATTAATAAGTCTATAAACTAGCGCTAACCTCAGAATTTACTTCGCAATTTTAAGAATGAAATCGTTTGTATTTATTATTGTTTTTTAAAAATTTAAAAATATGTTATTAAAAATGGTGGTTTCAATAATTCTTGTGAATAATATTCGATTAAAAATGTCTATATCTGCGCAGCATTATTTTATTTCTATCAAATAAGTCAATTTTTTTGTGAATTAGATTTGTATAAAAAGTGTATTAGTCATCAAGACTAATAAAATAATTTATTACACGAAAACAGTTAAGAACACAAATCACTGAAATAAGCCTTTACCTTTATTATAAAATAAGAGCTGAAGTGTAAAAAAATATGAACGCTTTCTTTTAGGGGTGATGGCATTCATCTCATTTTTATAAATGCACATCAAATTCCATTTAAATCGCATACAGCGTTTTACAGTTGAATGAAAAAACTAACACATATTACTAACCTCGACTGTATCGATTTATTTGCGAATCACCCTATATAACAAGGAGCTAGAATGCATCTTATGATGAAGTTTATTTCGAGTGATTAAATGACACTTTACTTCTTAAGTATATGTTTTACACTCGATCTAATATAATAAGAATTACTTCACTGTGTATCCGCAACGAAAGTTAGAATAACACATTTAGATTTGACTCTTCACTGGATATTATTTTTATAGATTAATTTACTACAAAAATCTTAAATGTAACTGATATCTTATTAATTCTTTATTTTTTGCAAGATTTAATAGTAGATGAATAGTTAACAACGAACGAAAAAACGAGGACGACTTTTTTTAAACGTTTTCTAAATATTCTACTATTTTTCAAAAATAGAATATTGTCGTAATCTATGATCGGAATTATTTGTAACATCGACATGGGTCCTCGGGAGTTCTAATCGAGCCCCACGTTGGGCGCCATGTCGTGGAATATGATCTGAAGTGCCTAATTGTTGAGAATTGTGGGGCGATTCGGTAACCTGGGCTCGTCGCGAAGACGTTGAAGCAGAGCTTCGAGCCCCACGTCGAGCGCCATGTCGTGAATTATGATTGTTTAGATGGGTTTCCTCAACATGGGTCCGCGGTGGAGATCAAAGAAATTCGAATTGAGCTCCACTTTGGACGCCAGGTCGCGCTAGGTTCTCAAACGACTGTGGTCTGTGGTGGATATGGCCTACAGACGTGGTGTCTAGGACACGAGCTCGTGGGGGAGATCTCGACGACGATGGTCGAGCCCCACGTCAAGCGCCGTGTCGGGTTAGACTTTCTAGATATGGTTAGGCGGTGATCGAATGTTCGGGGGAAATCATGAGAGTGGACGGGCGATGTACCAGAATTGCTTAGATGAAAAGAGCCGGCTACGTCACCTACAACATAGTCGGCTAAGGGGTTTTCGCATGCTATGGCACCCGAACGAGATGCCCATTGCTCCCGCTGTACTGTATCGCCGGTGCCAACGGTTCCACGTTCCAGGACGCCCGACATCGGAAGTAGGCCGATATCGAGGCCGGACCGCGAACCGTGGTCGGGCTCATGGGATTCCCCGGACCCTACCAGTTGGTACGTAGGTATAACCTCGTCCCGAGTAACTGTGGGTGACCCACTTCGTGGTAACTCGTGAGTGCGTCGTGAGGGGTGGTCGAGGCGGAATCGTAACCCGCGTAGCAGCGGACCTCAACGCGTACGACGCTGTGGCTGCGCCGGCGCCGTGCCGCGTAGCTACCACCTTCGGTCCCTCAGACTCTTCACGCAGCATCGAGATAGCGTTGCGGAAGGAGGCCATTTCCTCGTTCACCCGGAGTGTCGGGAGATATTTCGCCGGCAAACAGGCGTGAGGGCAGTCCGTGTAACCACTGGTCTCTCCGGATGGGGACGAGGTCTCGTCCAGCTCAGTCTTGATCATAGAATCACGATCTGATTTATTTGTTGTACCTTCGAGTGCACCAATCCTCGTAGCACTGGATGTTGCGTCCCAGGGGTACATCTTACCCCGTACGACAATGTCGGAGCAAGCTCTTTTGCTCCGAAAGTCTTGTAGAAACACTGATTCTACTTTAAAGGTGGGTCTCTCGAGAGAGCCCTGAGAAGCAAAGACGACTTCTGTTAAATTTTGAGTACGCCGCTGCAATGACGTGCGTACTACAGCTATGGACTCGTAGGTCGCAAAGATAATGCTTCGTAGGGGTATGACGAGGAAGGTTGCCTCGACCAGTGACCGCCTAGAGGTTTGACGAGGAAAGTTGCTTCGGATTTGCAGATCTCGATAGAGTCTGAATGATAGGACTCGTAGGAAACCACCGTTCCGAGGGGCGAGTCTCTCGATGGAGCCGACACAATCAGAGACAGGGTCTTCGCCGGAGATGCTCAGTCTCGGACGGTATCGCAGGTCTCTAAAGGAGCCTGGTGTATCGCTGTTTCGATGCAGGGGGCTATCGAACAGGATCTTCACCTCAGGTCAGGCTACCTCGGGTGGAATGTCTCGTGAAGCGAGTAATGGTTGCGAAGCACTATAAATTGCCTCGTCGAAGGTATGGTAGCCTTGACAGAAGCCTCGTGAAGCGAGCCTGTGAGCTGTGAGCTCCAAAAGTTCTTGAGTTTGATGCCAGGGTTTTCACAATCAAACCGTGGAAGATATGTTAAAGGATTTATTGAACAGAATTAACAGACAATAAGTGCTCTTAATTAACATATACAAGTTATTTACCATAGAATAATATTTGTTACATATTGCTCTGTGTCGCTTCAATCGCGCTATGAACTCCCACTTAAGAAACTGCAGATGTCGGAAGTAGACGTTTGATCGCTTTCCTCCGATCTCCATACTTTTGGCGGAACGCTCGTGAATCGTCCGCCAAAATCTCCAGCAAAAAGCGCCCTTCATCGCCGTCGACGTCAGATCTCGTTCCCCTCTGGCCTCTCCGGATAGTTGATGTCGGCATCGGGGATTTTGGAGTTTTCTCCCATTTTGAGAAAACTCTACCCTCGTTATTGGCTTAGGCTACCGATCATCGCATCCAACCGCCAGAGTGGTGGGACCTTCGGAAGACGGTCCTTTCGGCCCAAAGACGGGGAAATTGGAAAGTGTGGTTAAATTTTCCCCGTCTTCTTAAAAGGGCTTACGGAGGTCTTTGTACTGCATGGATCTGGTTCAAAAGTGGACTGTTGATGCACGATACGAAGTAGTACCGTGGCTGGAGAGTTCAGACGAGATCGCGCGGACACTTCTGGCAGCTAGAAAGACGTGAAATCCTATTATGGATTAGCTAGCCGTTAGTAGTCGCACGATTCGGCTTGAATTTGGATATGATTACCACCTAGGAATACT